ATATTTAGGGCGGGTATTTATTTTTTTATATATATACACACATCTATGCCACCAACACACGATGGGTGTTGCCTCTGAGGCTTGCATCGTGCGTGGACGGAAGACCATGTGTGGTGTTCATGTCTACTCAACATGGATGGTTGCACATACATACATACATACATTACTACTCATTTTCTTCTCAATAGTAGGGAGCATTCCCTCGAGACTGGCCACTCCTTGTTTCAACATCGACACCTGCTTCCGCACAAACTGCGAGGGGAATTCACACACACACACACACACACACAGATAGCTAGAACAGACGAGAGAATACACAGGAACCTCATTAGCTAATAAAGGACACCTCTCTCTTTGGGATAATAGCAGGCCCAATGTCAGGTAGAATACCATACCTAGAGCAAAGTAGCAAATGCTCATTACTTGATGAAATCTCAGAATAAAGGGATAAGCACAATTATTTACACAGTCCCAGTGGGTCTTCTATTCAGAGGTCTCCACTGTAAAAGGGAGTCAACTAACATCCAGAAGTTTCTCAGTGTACAGCTGCTCTCTGCTCATGAAGGTGAACAGCTCCGTGGCGTAGGCATCCTGACAGTCCTCAAACTTCTTGGTCACCTCGTCCACATCTGACTTGAGTGTGTCGATCTTCCCCATCTGGTACTCCCGGTTCGACTTCTCTGCCTGTTTCTCAGCCGCCTGCAGTCTGGGGAGGCCACACAATCATTCACTGAGGGAGCAGTATCAGTATATACCTTCCTCGAGCACTGTCCATGTCCAATCTGGCCTTCTGCAGCCTTTTCCTTGTCTTGTCCACCTTCTTCGTGTCATCCTACATCACAGAATCAGAATCTAACCATAGCTCCAACGCTACCTTAAACAATGGAGGTGGGGGTTTAATGTGCAGAAGCTGCCACATCTTTTCAGCAAGTGTGGCAAAAATATACACCCTTCCTTTCTCGCTCCTCGGACACCCAAGGAGACACAATGGCCAAGGTTTTCCGGAACTGACTACGAAAGTTGAAAGTGTTCGTTGGAAACACGGAACGACGCTATCAAACAGTGCGACTCTCCCAATGCAGTGGACCCCACAAACATGCAGGTCCCAAGAGACCAGCAAACCTCTCCCTTGGGCAACTCTGTATGTACACCAGCTATACATACATTGCAGGGTTTGTTGGCGGTACTTCCCGGCCTATGTTTGCTGAGAGTAAGAAAAAAAATTTGCTTTGCACATCACAGCTATATTCAAGGTGGTTAGTTGGCCTGTCTTTCCCCTCATGTATATACACAATAAAAGTACGAAAAGTTGGAACACACCTCTAGCATGGTATTGAGGGGGTTAATGACGTCATTGGAGAGCATTATCTCATAGTGGGCAATTTGGGAGGCCATTTCCTGCTCGGCTTGTCCCGCCATCTCCAGAATCTGACTGCAAAGACATGGGGGATAGAGAGGGAACAGCTTTAGTCAGTGGACATATGTATAGAGTAAGGCAGAGCCTGATTTAGCACGTTGGAAGGAAGGAATGGAGGGAGTGAAGCGACAATATACAATTGTACATCAGTAAGTGAAGGAGAGGGAAGAATGGAGGAGGGAGAGGAATGGTGTACGGGGGAGGAGAGAGGAATGAGAAAATGGAATGGGAAAATAAAAACAATTCAGATGCCTTTGTAAAAGTCCCACCTGAGTCAGCTCTAGTACATACTTACTATATACTTACTACATACTTGCTACATGTACGTAGCCTAAGGCTTATCTTACATACATGTATGTGTATTTGTTTCAGCTCAGCTCACCCGAAGGCCGACTTATTATCAGCGCTACAAAGCTGCAGCCCAGCCTCCTTCAGACTAGATCCCACTGCGTAGATGGGAAGCCTTTTCTGCGGAGGTGAACACATTTAGGGAATGACCCCAGAACTACAAGTCTTGGGTACATTATGTGTCACTAGGAGGCTCACGGTATGTTTCTCCATCGTGGCTCCTGATCCTTGGAGACTGGACAACAGCTTTTTGTGAGTCACGTAAGCACCGTTCCTGATACCCTCCACCTTACGTTCAATCTGGTGACAGAGGAAGAGAGGGAGGGGGAGAGGAAGGAAGGAAGGAGGGAGGGAGACGAGATGAGGAAAGGGCTGTTCATGACAAACATGTAAGGGTCTGTGTACCCAACACTCTCTCTCCCACAAGGAACACTAGCGGCTCTCAGAGAGCCCGAGTCACAGGGAAAGTAACACCGCAACCTGAAAACATGCCTCAGTACATTATACGCACACCAGCTTAACATTATCTCAGTAAACATCACTCATAGCCTGAAACTGATCCACTACATCCCTTTTAGCAATTGTTAAGACACACAACACATTGTTTTACTTTGAACACGAGTAAGAGTAAAACTATGCGGGCACCAGCGGTAGACCTTGCATGTATAAGTTTCAGTTATTGTATATCTAACGGAGCCCTTGGTGAGATGAGACTCTACATACATACATACACAGAGTGGAATGGGAGCTGCAGTGTCTTATGGGGACCACTGTCCATTGACCACCCTATTAACTACACAGAATCCAACACCAGTCGTGTCTGAAAGCAAGCTGGTGGGCAGCGTGGAATAGCCCACACATCACCACTGTACACTGGAGCTATGGGTTTTAAAATAGAGTCTTACTGCAGCAGAAACAATAGAAGCACACCTGAAGTAGTACTGTAAGGGGACGGTATTACACAGCAATGCATGGTATATTGTATATAGCAACAACAGCAATGGTATATATATATATATATAATTATATAGTTCACAGAGACACTATGTAGCCACCGAGCTAGGTATACAGTACAGAATTGTGCGCCCACTAGGTGTACAGCGTGGAGACAGTTTATTGTGTACCCAAATACTAGTGCCCTGGTTAGCGGGTGATTGAGGGAGCATATTATACTCACCTGTACGAGGTTCTCTGTGAGTGCATCGCTCTTGTCTCCCCTGGACAACGTGGTAAATGGAGAGAAGAGAAGAATTGATTCACCTCACAACACGATGAATTGGTTGTGGTAATGAACCCTCTCACAACACACTCTCTCTCTCTCTTTGAGTCTCTATCAAGCTAAAGCAAGAAGGGGATTATGCCACCTTCCTCTACCGCACTATGTCTAGCAAATAGGCATCATTCATGCGTGATGTGGTATTTTGGGAGTGAACTTAGGCAAATGGTCAGTCACTCCTCCTCCTTCAACTGCTTCCTGGACAAAACCCTACTCTATTTCTCAAGCTAACTTCCTCTCCTCTCTTCTCCTCTCTCTCTCTCTCTCTCTCCAGTGGACTTACCTTCCCACTAGTTCCAGGCCTTGCTGTCTAATCCTCTGAATTCTCTTCATGGTCTTCATATTGGAGAGAGACAGAGAACGGGAGGCAGCTATATCCAACACAGCTATACACTCTCCACAGACGATAACATAGAACACGAGCTGCTGCACTACACTGCAAGTTATTGGGCAGCCCGCTAGCTAGGCGTCCGCGGTCACAAAGCTAGCTGGCATTCTTAGCATCACCGCCCACTCCGGTATGAACATACCGCTCGGCTTCTTCCGCATATCATGCACAGTGCTACAGTACCGTGCAGCGAGAGTACCAGGGCTAGCTACAAAAACCAACAGCAGCGTATTATAGCAGGTAAAAGACACACAACAACTGCACCAAAAGGTAAACGCACTGTCAGCTTACTAGCTCAGCTCACCTCCGCTCAGTTGGTTCGCAATGCAGCAGCAAAGACGGCTGCCAGCCACCGGACAGGAGATCCAGGCAAATCGAAAGTTTTCTCCTACTTTTGCACACACAAACCTCGCCCAGCGAATTTGCTCGAGGGCGAGCCCCTGCTAATTATGCTAATTAGCGCCATGTGTGGCAAGCTGGCCCCGCCCCCCCGCGTGTGCGCGCATGTGTGTTTTGGTGTCGTTTGGCTGGGTTGTAGGTTTCATCCTAGCTGCGTCGGCCGGCAGACATCACATGCATACCTCCTTCGTTTGAGTCTTCGAAGGGAGCTCGATCCCTCCCGCACGACCCGAAGAAACGTCGAAAACGATAGTTTTTCCCCGGGTGAGCGATGGAGAACGAGGAAGAGAACTACTATGACGATCTGGAGGGACCGGAGGAAGAGTTCCACCGCCGAAGACCCCAGCAGCACCTCTCCCCGTCCAAGGACAAGCATCCGGAACTCGTGTACCGCCCTGACACGCATACCTCCGAGGCCTTCTCACGGTTCCAGGAAATGAAAACGGCAGGCCGACTGTGCGACGTGGTGGTGAAGGTGGGCCACATCTCCATCGAGGCCCACCGAGTGGTTCTGGCCGCCTGCAGCCCCTATTTCCGAGCCATGTTCTCGGGGAACATGCGCGAGAGCAGGGAGGGGGTCGTCACGATCAAGGAGTTCGACCCGGAGGCCGTGCGAAGGGTGGTGGAGTTCTGCTACTGCGCCGTCATATCGATCGACATGGCGAACGTGTTCAGCGTCCTGCCCGTGGCGAACCTCCTGCAGATGAGCGGTGTTCAGGAGGCGTGTTGCCAGTTCCTCGGCAGCCAACTGCACCCTTCAAACTGCCTCGGGATTCGCAGTTTTGCCGACCTCCACAACTGCCAGGGACTCTGGAAGAAATGCACCCTCTTCATGCAGCAGCGGTTCCCCGAAATTGCCCTCCACGAGGAATTCCTGGAGCTGGGGTTCGAGGAAGTGAAGCAGATAATCTCTGACGGCAACCTGAATGTGAGGGGAGAGGAGCAGGTCTACGAGGCCGCAATGGCGTGGCTCAAGCACGACGAGACCCGCCAGACACATCACTTCGCAGAGCTCCTCGAGTGTGTGAGAATGCCCCTCATGTCGGCTACCTACCTCAGTCGCGAGGTCAAGAACGAGAGACTCGTTATGGACAGCTACGATGGGCGGGGCCTCCTCATCTCTGCCATGGACCACCACCTCCAGAAACACTATCTGCGAAACTCGAGAACAGCTGTCAAATCTATCAACACCACCCCGCGGCGCTGTCCAGGGCTAGAGTGCCTCTTTGCAATCGGAGGATCCGGTCCACCGGTGTTTGAAGACGACCCGTACCTTGACCTCTGCGAATGCTACGATCCAGAGAAAGACGAGTGGAGAGTCGTGGCTTCAATGTCAATCCGGAGATCGGGGATGCGAGTGGCTTCGCTCGGCGGCTACCTCTACAGTATCGGAGGGTTCTCTGCATCAGATACAAAGGCGCTGTCTGCCGTTGAGCGCTACGATCCGATGACCGACTCTTGGAGGCTAATGTCGTCCATGCTCACCCCGCGCCGCAGCTTCGGCGTGGCGGTGTTGAACGGGTACATCTACTCTATGGGAGGGATAAACGGAGGAACTTATTACGACAGCGTGGAGCGGTACTGCCCTCACACTAACAAGTGGAGTTTCGTCCAACCCATGAGCGTAGAGAGGCGAGCAGTCACGGCTGCATCGCTGGATGGATTTGTGTATGTTGCAGGTTGGTGGCTTCTCTTTTGCTCTATAGCGAGAACTTTTATCCTCTTCTGTTCATCCGCCTGTGTAGTCGGGTGTAGTATAGTGCAAATGGCATCAAAAGAGCAACAGCGTAATATTTTGTTAACAATAAACTGTGCTAGCTGATGTGTAAAGAGTGCCTAAGTGAAACCTGAAATAAAGTGTATGTATATTGCCTGATGTGCTATTTCACTTTGATTTCCTAACAGAACATCCAGTGTGTTAAGTGTTAACTGTTCCGTGTCTCTCTCTATCTCTCTATCAGGGGGGCACGATGGGGAAGGTCTCCTGGACACGGTGGAGAGGTTCAACCCGGAGCAAGACACCTGGACCATCGTAACCAACCTCGGTTCCCCCCGCTGTCTCGGAGGTCTCGTCTCCATCAAGGGATTCCTGTATGCAGTGGGAGGATACGATGGAGCGAGTGTTCTCCGATCTCTACAGGTGTGTTGAAGTCGTCATAAAACCTTTGTGAATTGGTGGGAAATGAGGTATTTTAGTGTGGATGTCCCGTCCCAATAATTGGTTCCATGCCTAGCTTTTGTGAGTGGCTCTCTTTGGGAAAAACCTCTGTAGCTGTGAGTCTAGCGTTGGGACAAGTCAGTAACTATGTTATTTCACATCTCCTCTCAGCGCTACAACCCGCACACGGACGAGTGGGCGATGGTCGCCTCACTCCCTATTGCTCGGATTGGATTTGGATCAGGCGTCATGGACAACGCCCTCTACCTCTGTGGAGGCTGCAGCAATCTCTCAAAGGTACACTGTTTCTTACTCTGCACTCACCTCTAGAAGTTAGTTTTTGTCAAGGTGTTCACCCCTACACTTTTTTACCTACCATTCTCTCCACTCACCTTTTAAGTTACTTTAGGGCGTTAAATTTTTAGCAGGGCTGAATTGAATTTTGCTATTGCGCTTGAAAGCAACCATTGATATATATATACTTCTGCAGCCTTCAATCCTCTCATCTTTCACTCCCCTGCCTAAAGGTTAACACGGTGGACTACTATGATCCAGAGAAAGACGAGTGGAACATTCTCTCCACTCCAATGAGCACTCGACGCAGCAGTCTCGCAGTGGGCGTGGCATCCACGTTCCTATTCTAATCAATGCCCACCTAACATTCATCAATGAACACATTTTTGTATCCCTCACTTTTAACCTGCCAATCTTCACAAAATGTTGCAATCATGATCATTCAGAACTTTATATTATACAGAATAATGAACAAGTGAATAAATAAAATATTATATTAATTATGCTCCAGGAAATGCAGTGTTATGAGTTTCAATGAAAATGTTAATGTGTTATGAAAGTTTACGGTTGTGCAAAGTTCAATAATTGTCCTATATAGATCTTAGAAGTGCAGCAGTTCTGAGGTGGTGGGCTCTAAATAGAGTGGGTCCCCCTCACTGCCCCGGAGGTGGGGGAGGGGGAGGCGGGACATAGTAGACCTGCTGGGACGGGGGAGGAGGTGCAGCCGGGGTGAACGGAACTCCAGACTGTTGATAGCTCGTGTAGCCTCCAGTTGCACCAGCGCCGTTCTGGTAGGGAGTGTACTGTCCGTATGCAGCAGAGGTGGGCACAGCCGGCGGGAGGTAGTTCGGAGTGATAGAGTTGGTCTGAGGGTTGTAGGAAAAGGCCGGCGCGCTGGAGTAGGCACTGGTTGTAGAGTCACTGGAATCCTTCTTGTTGTACTTTCCCAGCCCGCCCAGATAGCTCTTGTCTCCTCCTTCGGACCACGACGTGGTGCCACTGCTGCCACTGCTTCTGCTGTTGTAGCTCGACCCTCCTCCTCCTCCTCCTCCTCCTCCTACGCCGCGGCCATTCATACTGGCTCTCTCTTCGTTGCGGCGCTTGTCGTCACGGACTCGGTAACGCTGTCGAGCTGCAGTGGCACACAAAATGCACACAACACACAGTGAAGTAAGATACTGACAGCAGTCACCAACGTCTACACCAACGTCAAACGTTACACCAGTATAGGTGCATATGCTTGACTAGAGATTTTGCTAGTCAACAGAATTTTTAGTAAGATACTGCCCGTTTTGGAGCAGATATAAAGAAATGAACTCACATTTTGCCATGTACATCTGCTTGGACAGTTCCAACATGTGGTAGAGTCTCGGAGGTACCTGCTGTTTCGCCTCTTTGAGAATATCAATCAGTTCTCGGGCCTGTTTGGCGTTACTGGAGGTGAAGAAGCTGTAGGCGGTGCCAGTCTGCTCGGCTCTGGCCGTGCGGCCAATGCGATGAACGTAGTCTTCGGTATTGTTGGGGAAATCAAAGTTGATCACAAACTTTATGTCGTGAACATCTGCGGGGAGAAGAAAACAGGTTAAGGTAGCACCACTCACACATTATTAGTGGAACCCCTTACACCAAAATCTCTAAATATGCCTCAGACTGCACTGTCAAAGAGAGCACTACCAAGATAAGCCTGAGGCCACCAATACTTGAACCAAAGGAATAAGTAAGGCTAGGGTCACTGATAAACACAAGTATGAGGCTGTGGTTTCAAGCGAAAATGGCAGTCAAGCCGATAAGCACAGATTTGGGAGCTTTGCTGCAATCCAGGTGGCTGTAAGGGGTTCCACGCCACACAGCGGCACGGAGGCTCCAACTGGCTCACCTGCCGTTCCAGGCAGGGAGGAAATAGAGCCAGACGTACACGCTGCCCCTCTCAGCATGCAGACTAGCAGGTGTAGGTGTGGTTTACGAGCAACCCTCGCCGTGGCTGGCAACCTCCGGTAACCACAGACCAGCAACCACATCTCCTCCGCCCAACCTCTCTTTCTTTCTTCTCTCGTTCCTCGTGACGCAGTTACACTTGAGACGGACATGACCCTATAGTGGGCACTATATAGAGTGGTGTCCTTATAAGAGTGGGCCATGTCGAGTGAGGAACAAAACTTCCGACGATGTCTTAGTTGGAGAGGTTTAAGGTCAGAGTTCAGTGATTGCTCGATTACGGAGGTCACCACTGGTGGGCTCTATTTGGAACACCAATCCACCCCACCACACACTGTCGCATGCACACGACCCAAAAAAACGCTGATTAGTGTCTGAAACCGAAACCAGGGAACTGGAATCAGACTCGTGGCAGGCAGCCCAGACTGCTCGCGACCACTGGCGAGCAGGTGGCGGGCATGCCTGCATTGAAAAATTCAAAAACTCAACAATTTATCAGATAGATATTTGTGCAAGTGGCTCTTGTTCCATCACAGGCAACAAGATTGGACACTTACCCAGCCCTCTGGACGCTACATCTGTCGCTATCAAAATTGGCGACTTCCCTGAACGAAACTCTGGGGGGAAATCAGGGGGGAGAGGGTTAAACGTAGTCGGATGCGGACCAGTTTAGCTCACCTCCCAACACCCACTCCCGCTCTTGCTGCTGCTTATCACCATGGATGCACATGGCAGGCCACCTGCAAACAAATCATCAAGGCTTACACACAAGAAGCACCAACAATAATATTATTATAGCTAGATTATTATTGTGTCAATGGCAAAAACGCCTATAAAAGAGGCTCACCCATCACGACGCATCCTTCGAGTCAACTCATCCACTTTCCTCTTCGTCTCCACAAATATGATGGTCTGTATTGGACAACAACACGAGCACGGCTCAAACAACCACCCAGTTGTTGGAGACTGGAAGAATAGCTGCAGAGGACGCGTTGATTGAAAACTAACCTTGTTGTCCTTCTGGCTCATTATATTCTCCAGTAACTTGCTCATTCTTTTGGAGAGAGAAGAGGAATAGAAGGTTGCAAGAGAGAGAGGTGGAAAAGAGAGGAGAGAGAGAGAGAGAGAGAATGGTAACTAGCAGCAAGTATTCAGAGATTCTCTCTCACTTGCCGTCCTTCTCGTACTCCTCGCACATCTCGATGATCTGGAGGATGTTGTGGTTGGCACAGAGATCCAGAGAGCCAATGTTCACTTGAATGTAGTCCCTCAAGAAATCCTCTGCTAAACCTACACACACACGCACGCACAGAGCAGGACACTACAACTGAAAGCTACAATTCACGAAATTTGCCAGAATCAAATCGGTGCACTTGGAATCTGCATTATACATATAGTATGTTATAGAGCTGCCAAAAAACAGCCAGCCAATAATTCTGGGTAATAGGCATTGCAACGCAACACAGATACCACAGTGCAGATCACATTTCATCACAACAGGAAAGTGTTTTAATCAGATTACCTACTTCCTCTCCCCACTTCCTTTCCCCACTTCCTGCCTCCCAAACATGTAGAATTCCTCTAGAGACATTTTTCACAGAGTGAGAAATAGTCCCACACAAAGGTATTTACAGTTAAAACAACATAATTGTGGAATTTTGTGAAAAGTTCCACTGGACGCGGAATGCGGGCATACCTTGCACCTCCTTGGGCCAAGTGGCACTCCACATGAGGGTCTGTCTGTCAGGTCGAATCATGTCGACAATCTTCCTGATCTGAGGCTCGAAGCCCATGTCCAGCATCCTGTCGGCCTCGTCCAGGACAAGGTAGGTGCAGCGGTTGAGGTTCATCTTCCCCGACTCCAGAAAGTCGATCAGACGACCTGGCGTCGCGATCACTATCTCACAGCCTGGACAGAAAAGTAGGAGACACCGAAATCGGTGTTTTTGACTAAAACAGGCATATCCTGGGTACTCCAACTACAAAATTTGGTACACTGACGCAGTATGATACGAGTCCATAAAACCAAAAAGCGGTGAACGGAGAAAGAGGGGGGGGGTTGGTTATGACAAGTGTAGTTGTGGAAACTATGAAGGATGAAGGGGGAAGTTGTCGACGTACCATCTTGAAGATCCCTGATCTGAGGACCACGTGGAGAACCCCCGTAGACGCAGGCACTCTTCAGACGACACGGTTTGCTAAATGTCGAGACCACACCCTCCACTTGCTGAGCCAGTTCTCTAGTAGGAGCCAGCACTAGGACCTGGGTACAGATGGAGAGACAATCTACACTGACAGGAACTCAGAACAGCAAGTGAGAGAGAGAAAGTGGGAGGGGGAGGAAGGAGGAGACTTACAGTGGGGCCGTCTCCCCTCTGCAGTTTCGGTTGGTGCATGATGTGAACTATTCCGGGCAGGAGATACTGCGTAGGGGTAGGTAGTAGAATCACGTTAGGGGGAGAGAATTCTGGCATCACCAGTTGCGAGTAAATTTGTAAACCTTAGAACTCCCACTCATGAAAACGCCCCCAGAAACGAAACATATATACATGTCTTCTCACATAGTGATGCACAAGGCTTCTAGAATGCTCACTCCCCTTTCATAACACCCCTCCATAAGTAAAGTGAAACTACTGAAAAGAAAATTCTGTATAGACGACAAATCTCTATAAAGGACACTTGGTTCTGCCTCATTGGTGTATCAAAACACCTCCCGATAAGAGTCATCTCTAATTAGAGCACCCTCGATGTCCCTTATTCGGAGGTTTCACCGAACACAACTCACTCCCAGAGTCTTTCCGGACCCAGTCTGAGCGATGCCCACAAAATCACGTCCACTCAGAGCCATCGGCCAGCCCTGAGCCTGGATCGGTGTGGGCTCCGCAAACCCCTGTCTCCCCAGGGTAGACAGAATGTACTCAGGAAAACTGGCCTCCTGGAACGTTGACACTGGCTTTGGGACATTTAACCCCTTCACAAACATCTGCCTTTCCTTCCTGTACCTCTCAATTTCATCCTGTGACATCGTGTGTGTTGGTGCCAGGTGCGAAAATGACAATGACAATAGTCAAGATAGTACACTTTCAGTTGTATGTTGTGTGGTGTATATAGGTGTGGAAGTGGTGTGGTGGCGTGTTCTGTACTGACCATAGACCGACGGCTGACGTCTGGGTGCTCTCGGTAAAAGTCCTTTTCAAATTTTGGGAGTTTCGACAAGTCCCATCTTTTCCTTGAAGACCTGTAGTCGTTCAGTCGACTGGGGCGGGAAATGGGAGAAAGAAACACGAGTAACACTTCCAAACCAACATTTGTAAAGCAAAGTGACATGAAATGGACACTTTTCAAAGGTCCTAAAGGCCGGGGACATTACTAAAAGCTCACTCGAGGGAGTTTCCGCCGCCGCCATACCCGCCGTGCCCCCTATTTCCACCGTAACTGCCGCCGCTGCTCCCGTGGTGATAGCCGCCCCTGTCTCTACTGCTACCGGAACTGTAGCTGTCTCTGTAAGAACCTCTGCTACTGCTGCTGTGAGAACTTCTGTGCGACATGACGAGCCAAACTCTATCTCTCTTTCGTTGCGAATGTCCTGGTTTGTGGTAATTTTCGTATTCTTCCGTAATCTTGTAACCTCGTACTTCCCACGTGGTCTTTGGTTCACGCACAGTTTACGGAGAAAACGGTGAAGAAGAGAAAATAGATGCATGCTCCTATTCCTCCTCCACAGCAAATGGCCATGGGTCAGGTAGGAAGAAAATCTCTAACAACTTTAGTCCCTGTTCACGCGACGTGTTCAGCAGCCGGCTATGAGCGGCGGCGTGCCACTCCCTCACAGTCAGTACCCGTTTCCTCTGACTGGCTACGAGATGCCTCCAGTAGCCATGGGATACGGAGGACCCATTCCCTACGGAGTCGCCGTACCATACATGCAAGGTAATTTTTATTATAGGCAAACCTGAAACTTTCATGAAAATTCATGAGGCTGCTAATTGCAGGGCCTCCCCCGCCATCGAAGCCACCAATGGACGTGGCTGATCATCCCGACCTCTTTATCCCCAAACCTGTTGAAGAGTTCCTCCCTCGATTCAGGAGACAGATCCGAGACAAGGTCTGTCCAAAAACCAGTCCAGTTTCTAGAATTCATATTTAATAGCTGAATATTAACCCCACAGAACATACCAGAGATACTGAACAGCTATGAGGTTGAGTTCAACAAGTTGTCGGATCGTTGGTTCACTGAGGACCCGTGGCCCGTCGTGGAACAAGTGGTTACCCTCGACAGCGGAATGGCCGACGGTATAGAGAGCTCTAGTGTGTCCAAACCTCCACTCCCTCTTCTCTCTCTCTCTCTCTCTCACTGATCCAGACGAAGTGTTTATAACTCTCTATAAGGAGCTGTACTTCCGACATATCTATGCCAAACACAAGGTTAAAAACCATAGTCTGCAGGTGTGTAGTTAGTTGTCTGAAGTGAGTGAAAATTGCTATTTGAAATGTGTATAATTATAGGTGAAAAGGAATCAAAATTGTAAAGTTAACCCTCTCTTTCACGTCTCCAGCCCACTATCGACCACAGGTACAACTCATTCTCAAACTACTGCGACCTCTTCAACCTCATCCTCAGTGAGTTCCTTGATTCATCTAGACACGGCCTGATGCGGCTTAACACGCTCTAGACACGGAGGAACCCATTGATCTGGAGCTACCCCAGAAGTGGCTGTGGGACATCATTGACGAATTCATATATCAGGTATACAGCTTTGTGTAAATAATTTGAAGTGTGACCTCGAAGTAATGAAATTGCCCTTTGCACCTCTCTTCATGAGTGGTAGTGGGAATGGGAATGAACCATTGGCGTAGTTTTCCCTCTCGCCCCACGTGAATAAATATTCCATTCAGGTAGCCACGTAGCAACTTCAACTGGTTTAGCACGGGGTGTACTGAACTGAACCTTAATTGTATGCAAAGAAGAAAACGCATGGGATTTACGGTTCAAAAGAAAAAGATGGAGGATGTGGATTGTGTGTGGCTGCCTTTTTCTCTTGTTGGCTGCAGTTCCAGACGTTTATCCAGTTCAGAGGGAAGCTGAAGACTCGGACGGCCGAGGAGATCTTGAGTCTCAAGGAGAACCAAAAGATGTGGAACATTCACAGCGTTCTCAACGTTCTCTACTCTCTCATCGCCAAGTCAAACATCAACCAACAGGTTTTCCTCTCTCTCTCTCACACTACACAAAAGTTTGGTGCCACATGGGATAATGATTATTTTGTCGATTGATTTTACACCTCATAATCAAAATTTGGTGCCATATACCACAAGTGTATACAGCTCTGTTGACATCTACAGTTGGAGTTAAACTTAGCAGGGGAGACTCCGGCGCCAGGAGTGTTTGGAGGCCACTCTCTGTACAAGGAGCTGGGCTACTACGGTCTTATAGGGCTTCTGAGACTCCACACGCAACTGGGAGACTATCACCAAGCTCTCCAGAGTGTGTCCAACATACAGCTCTCTAAGAAGGTCAGCCACACCTTTTTCTATCTCCTCTCTCATCTCTCCTCTCTCTAAGAAGGTTTCTCTCTGTAGCATACAAAATTTCCAGTTCACAGGTTTGAATGTCTTATTTTCAGGTGTTGGCAGTGACTCGTGTACCAGCAGCTCATATAAGTCTCTACTACTTCGTGGGGTTCTGCTATTTCATGATGCGGCGATACAAGGTACAGGTAGTAGTTTTAACAAATTTTCATAGCATTCAATTAGGTTACTGTTTTTTTCAGAGGGTTCAACTGTTTTCTTCTCCTCTTCTTCTAGGATACTGTGAGGACATTTTCAAACATCATTGTCTTCATCCAGAGAGCAAAACAGCACTTTCAGCCCAAGTCATTCCAACTAGACCTGGTAAAAACGTACACCTCGGGTCATGTGATCCTCGTGTGACGTCATGTGATCTCCGTCTCTCAGGTCCTGAAGCAGAACGAGCAGATGCTGTCGATACTAGCCATGCTTATCTCGCTCTCTCCACAGGTATAATTATATGCATTTTATGTGGGGTACCGCTTTTTAATAACTGAGGCGATCAGAAAATGCTATACTCTTATCAAATCTCTATTTGCAGCATGTTGATGAGGTAGTTAACTCACAGCTGAAACATGAACGCTACACCGATAAGATGGCCAAGATGCAGAAAGGGTAACTTAGCTTCTCACATACCCACTCCTTCCTTGCCTTGATAATTTTACTCTTCCCGATCTCTAGTGACTTGAAGACATTTGAAGAAATGTTCACATTTGCATGCCCCAAGTTCATGTCACCAATCCCTCCCGACTACGACAGTCTCCCCGAAAACTATAACAAGGTGATTACCTCATCGCTCTCATTGACTCTGTATGGCTGAAGTAAAGGATTACATCACCGTTATTTGACAGGAGCCCACTAGGTACCAGTGCTCTTTATTTCTGGCTGAAGTGGAACAGCAGCTGATTATCCCCACCATAAGAAGGTGCACTAGCTTCAACACTACATTTTGAGGGATAATGATGTGTATGTGGTATATAATAGTTACCTGAAGTTCTACACTACCATGCCCATATCCAAGCTAGCATCCTTCATGGAAGTGGTGAGACTTTGAATAAAAATCGAGAGAATTTACCTCTCGCCTCCACCTCTCTCTCTCTGAACAGGATGAACCAACTCTTAGAGAGCAACTACTCCGATTCAAGGTTTGGAACCTCGAGACCTCTTCTTCTCTCCCACACACACCTCCCCTTCTCCCTCATCTCTCTCCTATCTCTCTCTCCTTGCCACCCAGCACAAGACCAGGACACTGGTGTCCACTACAAAAGGAGTGAAGCATCTCTCGGGAGAACTGCAGTCATCTTCCGACCTCGACTTCTACATCGATGGGGTGAGTACAGGAGAGAAGGAAAAGATTTGCTAAGTTACTGCTGAGTGACTTTTGTCAGGACATGATCCACATCGCTGACACCAAGGTTGCTCGTCGCTATGGTGACTTCTTTATCAGACAAATCAACAAACTGGAAGAGGTGAGATGACTATATATCAGACTGTAAGTGCCATTCTCTGTCTCTCTCTCTCTCTGACCAGATTGCAGGGAGAGGGAACTAAACTAACACATATTGTCAGCCATTGTACTTCCTTCTTGTTGCAATTTTGTCCATGCAATACAATGTAACTCAACTATAATTACTTTTTTCTCCAGAAGATTGACCAATTTATTATTATTAGTGGCGAACTGTGTATTAAAACTGGGTTGTTCATTCGCACTGTGCGACCCGTTGCAGACCAATTTTGACTAAAATCACAGAATTCAGAGGTGCGGGATCTACAACCGCTTTGGAAGTCGTGATGCTGTATGAGAATGTACAATGTCGTTGAGGAGAGGAGGCATTGTTCCAGAGTGACGGGAGCTCATTTCTCGAGGAGCTCTCTTCTCTGTCTCTCCAGCAGCATCTCCAGGTGTTCGGCTCTCCTCAGAGCGGCCGCGTGCTGGCTACGGAGACTCGCTAGGTTCTCCTCTTTCTTCTCCAGGGCCTGTCTGACTCTGCTGTGGACCTCCTCCAACTCCCTCTCCTTCTCCCTCTGACCTCGCTCCTGCTCCAGCTTGCGTCTGGCTCGCAGCTCGCTCATCTCCAGCTTTACTCTCCTGTTTTCCTCTTCCGTCGACACCAGTCTGAAGATTATCACAAACATGGCCCACTGAGGCTGTTTTGACATTTTGTTTACACTATAGGGTGTTAAATGCAAAACTGCATTCTAACACCCTAACTTTACAAAACTTTACAGGAACTTCCTTTACTGTGCTATATATAAGGGGCAAGCTACCGCATTACAAATTCCAAAAAGAAGGCAGTTTCGAGTGAGTTCGGGGTGGTTCGACCACACCGAACCTCCTCGAGCCACTGTGATGCAGGGGGAAGCAGGCCTACAGGGCAGTTTCAACTCATCAACTCAAGGTTTGGGAAATTTAGTCCTAGATCACATACACACACAGAGAGGCTGATCCATCCACTGACCTGTCGGCAAACTCTTGTCGTACGACGTCAGTCACATTGTCCCTCTCTCGAGTGAGTCTCTCTGCCACCTCCCCCACCTGCCTCACCTCCTCTTCCTTCTGCCGGAGGAGACTGCGGAGTCGCGCCCCCTCTCCCTCCCTCTCCCCCAACTCCCTCTTGGCCGATGTCAGTTTCTCCTGGGTACTTCGCTCCAGTCGCTCCACCTCTGTCAGTTCCGCCTCACACTTCTCACGGATACGTCTACACAACACACACACAGTACTATATACGTAACGTTAGGTTTCAGCTTGCTCAGACTTTTGAGCAAATCTTTCGTTGCTAACAGTGGGTAAGAGGAGGGGAGTACTGCTAACTTGATTCTGGCGTCGGCGGCTTTATCATTCTGTGTCTTGGTGACCTCCGCCTCCTTCTCCAGACGACTGATTACCATCTCTATCTCCTAGACAACCAACCAATCAACATTACATCATCACGATGCAACTCTCACACTACGGTATATTTCCATGAGATTTGACTCTAATTGCAGCCCACCTTGTCTCTCTCCAGTCGTAGTTTCTCTCTCATCTCCCTCTCTCTGGCGAGGAAAGCCGTCTCCTGTCTCCGGGTGTAGTTCTCCTGCCACGCCCCCCTCTCTGTTGCCAGCCTCTCCTCCAGAGACCTCAGCTGGGAGCCGTGTCGTCTCTCCGCCTCCTCCATCACTCGAGAGTGTTCTCTCTGTAGCTCTTCCACCTCTCTGGCACGGGCCTCCTGGACAACACACAGCGCACAGCAAGACATGTACTTGTACGATCATATCCAAATGCATGGATCCAATCTTGAAAGCAAATATTCAAGAGCTAATAGGGCCTCTATATAATAATAGTATTACTACTTATAATATGAAAAGCACTAAAGTGCAAACCCTTGGCACACTCTATAGAAATGTGGAACCCATACACAAGTGTGGCACCACCACAATTGATGGTCTTGACCACGCATCAAAAAGAACAGCATGTTATGCACCATTTCCATGGTAGGTTGGAAAAAATGGTCAGCCCTATTTCTGTTTGAGGCCCAAAAAATAGATAAAGTTGAAAAATTGCCAACCTTTCATCTCTCTATTAATTTTCGTATTACCTGTGGATTGTTTAGTGCAAAAAAAAAAAGGTTGACTTAAAAAAAAACGGCCAGCCCTTCATCTCTCCAGACAGACGTCTACGGACGCAGTGCTATGCCGAACTGTACGCTGCCCTTTGAGAAACATGGGTCAGTGGTAGATTTGTGGGTAAGGGGAGGTACCAGAGCTGTTCCCAGCCAATGCTCTGGACCACCTGACACTTTAGTGCGGGATCGAGGATACGAACCCCGCACCTATGGTGTCAGTCCCCACGACTCTAACCACCTAGCCACTCGGGCTGGCCTTGAGAGGTGATGAAAAAACGTTCCATATATACCTATTACATCATTGTAAAAAAGGCGTACACACCCGGGATCGAACCAGGGACCTCACGATCAAGACCATCCATCAGACCCGCACCCATTACTCGAACGCAAACCCTCGGCGAACTGGTATATATACCGCTAATGGGCTATGGCGTTTACTCGCAGTAGCTTGCGGAGAGTCTGACACTGGCTAGCTACAGTAGTAGATAGCATGCGGGAGTCGATCGATACACACCCTTCGCTGTGGCTTCTTGTGCCTCCAAGTTACACAGAGCAAGCGGATCAGGGCGAGGTGAGCCAGCATACTGAGTCTAACACACGCATGCGCACCGCTTATTGATGGGTTTTGGGGCCACGCAACGCTGCCGTCCGCGACCGTGTCAGTTTGTCGCTCTCGAACGCAGTCGTTTCAGCAAAATCGGCATTTTAATTTTCTAACCCATGTATATACCGCTAAAGCTGTTGGAATCGCTCATAAGCCGCCTCGTTGCCTGTAGTGCGAGAATAGTCGTAGACAGACAGACACACGAACGACTAGACCACAGTAACCTCGCTGCGCATGCGCGCCGAGGGTTAATAAGTTGGTGTTAACAACTCTCTGTGGTCTCACCTGGGACTCGGTCAGTTGTTGTTCCAGCTGGTGTCTCTGGAGGTCCCACTGGGCGGCCATCTTCTCCCTCTCTTGCTCCAGCTCTGCAAACAGGACGCCGTCTCTGCTGCTGGGAGCTCATCTCCTCCTGCTCTGCCAGCTTCTCGTACCTGGATCAACCACAGTGAGCAGTGGAACCCCTCTAATCCAGGCACCAATTATTCAGTGGAACCCCTCTAATCTGGACACCAATTATTCAACAGTGGAACCCCTCTAATCCAGACACCAATTATTCAGTGGAACCCCTCTAATCCGGACACCAATTATTCAACAGTGGAACCCCTCTAATCCAGACACCAATTATTCAGTGGAACCCCTCTAATCCAGACACCAATTATTCAACAGTGGAACCCCTCTAATCTGTTTTCTTATCGTACTGACCTCTGTCTTGCCAGCTCTCTCTCGTGGGCGCAGGCCTGCTCCTTCTCGGCGGCACACTGTGCCCGCAGCTCCTCCATCTGAGCAACAAACCTCCTCCCTGCCCTCTCGTCTGCCGCCAACAACTCTGCCTGCAATCAGATACACCTCACGTAGTCACCATCACTTGTGAAAATACCGGTTCACACACACACTCAATAATGCTCTAGCCACCATGTAGACCGCTGAGAACTGCTTAAATTGCCAATTGGACAGACACTAGTCGAGTCGTCGTTAATTGCTCCTGTAAAATGTCTTACAAATTTATTTTCACCCCAACCTTAATTAGCACAGGTCCCTAGTATACTGGATCCACCTGGTCTTATACTTACTTCTTGTGTAGCTTTGAGTCTCTGGATGTCCGTCTTTCCTTTCTGAATGATCCTCTGAATCTCTGGCTCCAGGCTCCTCACCGTGGCCTCTTTGATCCGCCGGCTCTCCTCCGCCCTCCACTTCTCTCTCCTCAGCTTGTCTGTCGCGGCCGCCACCTGCCTCACCTTCTCCAGCTCTGCCACGTGCCTGAGATGAGGGGGAGACCCTGTTCGTTAGCCGATAACGAGGGGCGGGGCAGGGCTCACGTCTCCTCCATTGTCTTGACCTTGGTCTGGTACTTGGAGCTGGTGTCCCTCAGCTCTCTCACTAGTTTCTCACACTTCTCTCCCAGCTTCTTCTTATCCTCTATCAACTACATTATTAAGAACATGGTGCACCCAATTTTACACCACAATACAAACACTACACATAGGCCCACACTATCTGTTGCACTGCACACTCCAGCTAAATCTGGATGAGAATGCACCTCTAAATGTTGTCCAACGAAAGATCACAACAATACTGCCTGTCTTTACCTTCACACACACACACTAAAACTACGAAAACCATCTCTCACGGCCTATGTTTGTACCTGGTCAATAAACGTCTGATGTCTCTGAATTGTGGTCTCATATTCCTGCCTCTGTAAGTCCAGCCTCCTCTCTCCTTCCTTGTCCATCTCCTTGGCATGATACACTGTCAGCTCTCTCTGCTGGTTCAGAGCTTTCTGCAGCATTTCAACCGTCCTGCAATAACACAGAGACTATATAGCAGGTACATATCAGAATCTTCAATGAATACAAAAATTCGACTCGACTGCAAATGAATTGTGTGACACTACACATTGTGTGCGGCCCATTGGGAGTATACTTGAACAGTGATGTACGTACTTGTTCTTGTTATCAATCTCCATTCTCTGGGAGAGAATTGTGGAAGTTACGTCACTGGCAACGGTCTCTAGCTCCTCCCCCAGTCCCCCACCGCCCCTGCAATTATCACCAATACTATCAGTCTACTAACCAACAAGCCACATGCTACAGAAAACAATCAACTGAAATACTGCACAGTGCATTATTTCAAGTTGCGTAATGTGGTCTGCATAAAAAAGAATATGTCTTCTAGAAAACTACTGATTACAAAAATTTTTAGTGTGAAGAAAATTTCCCACTACCCAATGAGTTCAAACCCAAGTTGCAATGGAACTGGTGACAAACTCACGGTTTGACAGTATGAGATGTGGGGATCCTGCCAGTAGTGGAAGCCCCTCTCCCCTCGTCCACCCTCTCCACCTCATCCAGGTAACTCAGAATACTCTGCAATCTGCTCTCCGACAGATTAGACTGGGCGGGGCCGCTCTCTCTAGCCACACCCACCGTGGAAGAGTGGGTGGGGCCAATATGTCTGGCCACACCCACCTCGACAACAGCAGAGGAATAAGGTTTGGGCAGAAATTCTTTAGAGTTTGACCCCGGCAAAGGGGGTGGAGCTTCCTCAAGAAGCCTTAGAGTGTCCAGAATGTCAGCATAGGTGCTAGTGTTCGTGGTGACAACAGGAGGTGTGGGCTGGACTGGGGACTGAGTGACATGGGACCCAGACTGGGCCTCTCTCAGTGGTGATTTCTTATTGGGAGAGGGTGTACTGTTTGGTCCCAGCGACTCTCTGCTCTTTGGCTGTGACACTTTCTCATCGTCCTCCACAACCTCCTTCTTTCTCCTTCTCTTCTCTCTCTCCCCGCCTCGTCTCTTTATCTTACCACTTGCCTGCAACAGAGCCTTCAGAAACAACACGAAACAGATCAGTAATGATCTCAGAGAGCCGGTATTAACTCCTCACAATCTCCTCCTGGGCAATCCTCTCTCCCTCTCTCCTCCTCTCCTCTCTCTTCTGTTGCAGACTCAAGATGGCTGCCTGTCTGCTGGCTGCCATCTTCTCCTGTCTCCTTCGTCTCTTCTCTTCCCTCTCCTTCTCCTGCAAAACCAGGCAAAACATCTCTGCAGTTAAAAGTCCTCAAAACAGCATAGAATGTTCTAGAAATATTAACACCATGCAGCTAGATTTTTCTCTATTGGAATCACAGCAGCTGTTCTGGTAGCAATTCTACTGCTTCAAACTACTGCACTCTGAACTATATACAATAGTTACCTCTCTCAGCGAAAGGTTGAGCTGGTTGCTGCGGCTGGTGTCCAATTCCGTCTTCTTCTCCCTGAGAAGACTCCTCACTTGGGCCACCCGTGCCCTCTGCCTCTCTCGTTGGTGGCTGCGGTACCAGTTCTGTATCCGTCTAGCCGCCGTCTCTCTCTTCCCTCCCTCCAACCACTCAGTGTCCACGGACCCACTTAGATTAGGAATCACCACTTCACTTTTTAGAGCCACTTCATTACAAACCACCCCCTCATTTTCCTTCTCATCTTCCTCTCTTCTTATTCTACTTATTCTTCTCTCTGTTTCTCCTCCTTCAATGCCAGAAGAAATTATTTCCACCTTTGCAGCGTCCAGTGGTTCACTTCTCAAACCATTAAAATGTGCTGCAATTTTCCCACGTCTAGTAGTGACCGACACCTTGGGTTTTGTTCTGGACTTTTTTACTGCTTTACTGTCAACAGGTGTATCGTGGACTGGTTTATCGTGGAGTGGTTTGGGGTGGGTTCGTTCGTCCAGTGCAGCAGCAGTGAACGGTACTCTAGTGGCTCCCGCTGTGTTTGTAAGTGATCGGGTTGCCAGGGAGATGGGTGTGGAATGCACCTCCAAATTTACCTGCTGTGCAACAAAAGATCACGACAATGCTGCAATCATGTATATATACTGTCTTGAAGAGGAGGGCTGGCTCACGTGATCTCCAGGGAGGAGAGGGACTGAGCTTGCTCGAGGTATTCCCGCCGCTGTCCCAGGTCTGCTGTGACTGCGTCTATTCTGAAAAGGAAGGTTCTTTCTTGCATAGAGAAGGCTCGACATGGATGTATACGGACGTACTCTTGTTCTAGGGCGCAGCTGCAAACGAGAGGTGGACGGTCGACCCACAAAGAGCCCGTCGTCTAGCGGAGGAGGCGCTGACTGCATCTCTTTTTCAGCTCTCCTGCTTTGTTTTTCCCGCGGTAGTGACGTCATTCGGTATCACGTGACACCTTTTTGGCCCGATGAAGAACGGCACGCGGCCAGGCATCGCTCGGGAAGGCCAAGCCTACGGATACAAAGAAGCGAGACTGCTAAGCGAGACAACCCCTCTGGACTAGCACTGTCGATGCGGCACCAGAGGAGAAACCCAGAAGAACCCACAAATGGCAGATAAACGGAAATTACAAGGTAGCTTTGAGCTGCCCACCCCCTCTTTGTTCAAACTACAAGCTTCTAAATCACGCACCCTCTGGGTGGTGGTCAGTACGCGGTACTAACAGCTGGCGCCGCCGTCCATCCACCTGCAGGAGAGATTGACCGCTGCCTCAAGAGAGTCGCTGAGGGCGTGGAGCAATTTGACGATATCTGGCAGAAGGTTCGGCGACCGCCGTGTCCTGGGGGCCGGCTCCCTCACCTCGTCTCCCCGCCCCTGCAGGTCCACAACGCCGCCAACGCCAACCAGAAAGAGAAGTACGAGGCGGACCTCAAGAAGGAGATCAAGAAACTGCAGGTAGGGCCTTCCGACACCGCCGTGTCGGCGACGTCTCGCCTCCCTCGCTCTCCACAGCGGCTCCGCGACCAGATCAAGACATGGCTGACTTCTAACGACATCAAGGACAAGCGTCCCCTCGGGGAGAACCGCAAGTTGATAGAGACGGTTAGTCCTGTCCGCCGTAAACGCTCGGCGGAGTCGGCCATGTTTCTGGGCGTTCTAATTAATGCCTCCCTCCCTCGTCTCTCTCCCTCGCAGCGAATGGAGCGGTTCAAGGTGGTGGAGAGAGAGACCAAAACCAAGGCCTACTCCAAAGAAGGTCAGCTTCTCTATACTCCATGGCTGGCTGCCATCTGCACAGCTTTTCTGGTCTGTGGGTTTGTGCGGGGCCTGTATACACTTACACCTGAGGTTTGATTTGTACAAGTTAACTGTACACCTATTGCTGGGTGAAGTAGATGAGTGACAGAAGAAGAGGGCATGCCCCCCCGAAATGTATAAGTATAGATTTGTGTATGTTACTCTCCTCTTACTTACTTCTCCCTCTCTTTCTTCCGTCCATCTCCTTTGTTGAAGGCCTGGGGCAAGTGTCAAAGATCGACCCGGAGCAGAGAAAGAAGGAGGAGGTTCGGCAGTGGCTAACGAGCGGAATTGAAAAACTGGACAGACAAATTGACGAATTCGAGGCTGAGATTGAGTCTTTGTATGCCGGCTCGAAAAAGAAAAAGCTCGACAGAGATGTTAGCTTTTATCTACAGCTCCTCTGTGATTCATACCCCTCCCGTCCCCTCTCTCTCCTGTAGAAAAATGACCGTGTGGAGGAGCTACAGGGCTGGGTTGAAAGACACAAATATCACATTAAACAGTTGGAGGTGAGTTGTTGTCTTTCTCCTGTCAGCCTTTGTGTTGAAGACAAGATGTTCATGAGTGACTTGACAGCACTGTCGATGTACTTAACCCTTTGAACTCCCATCTAGTTCAACCCGTTGAGCACCCCGTTTAACCCTTTAGTCACCCCATTAAAAAAGTACTGAGATAATTAGACTGACGCGAGTGTGTTGTTGTGCTCTAGACCGTAATGAGATTACTGGACAACTGTTCGCTGGATGCTGACAAGGTCAGAGGCATCATGGATGATCTCGACTACTACGTCGATTCCAATCAGGTAGACTGCATTCAGTGGTGTCAGATCAGATGTGCTGCGTCATGCTGGGAGAGCCTCAGTTGTGTCAAGGATTTCATAAGTTCTGTGCTAGGATTGTGTCAAAGTTGCATCAGTTGTGCTAGGATTGCGTTCAAGCTGTGTCTGTTTCCCAGGAGCCTGATTTCACCGAGGATGAGATGATTTATGACGAGTTGGATCTGGAGGAGGCAGTGGCTGGCATCTACTCCAGCACTGGTGCGTGTTGCCATTATCACACTACATTCCTGTAACTTTTGGGGTGTCAATGTCTGCCACACTTGGTCCATCAAATATTGTGCGATTTCGCTTGCACAGTTCCCCAAAAACTGTTTCTTTCGTGAAAGTTTAGTTATAAGTTCTGCTAATACTCCATTTTCTCCCATTTTCTCTTTCCCATCAATTTGTCTTGCCTCCATTATCGCCTCCAGCGGTACCAATCCCGGTGGGAGCTCCTCCACACGGCCAGGGGGAGGAAGAGGTGAACTCCATCTCCAGTTCGCCCTCCGCCTCCAGCCAGGGGCCCCTCTCCCCCAAAACACCCACCACCATGAAATCTACATCACAGGTGTAGCTTCTTTTCTCTCCCTCCTCTACTGCTTTTCTCTTTCTGTCTGTGTTTCAATCCTCTCCCCAGTGCTTTGCTTCTTCGCTCTCCCCAGTGCTTTGCCTTTCTGTGTTACCCCCCATCTTCTTCACTCTCCCCAGTGCTTTGCCTTTCTGTGTTACCCCCCATCTTCTTCACTCTTCCCAGTGCTTTGCCTTTCTGTGTTACCCCCATCTCTTCACTCTCCCAGTGCTTTGCCTTTCTGTGTTACCCCCCATCTTCTTCACTCTCCCCAGTGCTTTGCCTTTCTGTGTTACCCCCCATCTTCTTCACTCTCCCCAGTGCTTTGCCTTTCTGTGTTACCCCCCATCTTCTTCACTCTCCCCAGTGCTTTGCTTCTTCACTCTCCCCAGTGCTTTGCCTTTCTGTGTTACCCCCATCTTCTTCACTCTCCCCAGTGCTTTGCCTTTCTGTGTTACCCCCATCTTCTTCACTCTCCCCAGTGCTTTGCTTCTTCACTCTCCCCAGTGCTTTGCCTTTCTGTGTTACCCCCCATCTTCTTCACTCTTCCCCACTTTTTGTCTCTCTTCTACCGTTTTCTTTTTATGTGTCTCGTCTCTCCTGTGTATGTATGTACCTCATTCCCTCCCCCTTCTCGCCAGGAACTATTCGAAGAGAGACGGAGAGGGAAAACGACATCGGTGTCTTCTGTAGATCAGAATGAAGTGGTAAACAATCTATTACCTTCACCTTTTACCAGTGGCAACCGATCCACACACGCACACACACACACACAGCAGGTTCAGCCAGCTGTCCCTCTCTCTCCACGAAAACCTACGTCAACCGTGAAAGCCATTCTACAGAATTCTGTCGTAGTCGTCCCATCGGCGGCTCAAGTAGCTCCATCATTCTCCAGCGAGGAACCCAACAGTAGCAGTACCTCCATATCGAACCCCCACCCTCCTCCTCATCACTCCGCAAAACCAAATTCCCTCCCACCCATCAAATCCACTCCCTCCTCCTCTGCCCCTACCCCCCTCTCTCAACCCACTTCTGCCCCACCGTCTGTCACTTCACCTATGCCCTCTTTATCATCAGCAGCGACTGCGGGCTCCGTTGCTGCTAGCAACGGCACCCAGAAGACCACGACACCCAAGCTGGCATTGTCGCCATGGGGACAAAGCTCAAACAACTCTCCGGTGTCTGCGCAGTCGCCGCATTCGACGGCATCGCCGACCACTGTGGTACTGGCCCAGCCTCCTCTCCACACCACTCAGGCTATGGTGAGACTTAACCCCCCTACCCACTGATTTTGTGGATTAAACATTCTATGTGGTGCCAGATTTCAAGCCGTTTAGTTTTTCACCATTTTTTTGGCGTGTAGTGCCAAATTCTGCTCCACAGACAAGAGTATAATAGACGCGAGGACCTAAAATCGTTGACTGCGAGATACGTTTCTGTACAACCTCAAATTTACACAATAAATGCCTCTTGTATCACTCTATGTATACTACTTGGCCTAACCATCTCCCTTTTTCCTTCTCCGTCTCTTTACCCCAATTCTCTCCCCCTACCTTTTGCCTCCCGCAGAGCTTCACCAGTGGGGTGTCGCCAGTCATGACTGGAGGAGGTGTCACGATATCAACCTCCCACCCTCACATCTCCACCTCCTCACAACCGAGACCGCCAGCTCTCGGCTCAGGCCACTCCCTCCACAGTCGCTCCAGCAGCAACTCTTCCATCTCGTCCACGGCATTATCGCAAGACTCCTCCCACCAACCACACCCCCACGTAGCCACGGTGACGGTGCCACACTCGCTGACTAACTCGGGGCCTGGTCACCACCCAGTGGGGCCAGGTGTGTCGGCGTCGTCAGCCTACGAGACGTCGACTGCTACCCCAGCCACCAGCAGTGGCAGCACTCCTTCAGCCCAGGCACACAGTCAAGGTGGAATATGATCTCTAACAGTAACAGATAGTCTGTGGAATTAGTAATAATTATCTGTGGAATGAAATGATCATTAGTAATAATAGGATCTTTCTAAGAAGGCTCATGTTTTCGTGGCTCAAATGTACGAGAGAAGTGTTTTGTTGCTAGTGTTCTAAAAGTGCTTTATTTGTTACTATAATATACCAATTTTACCTTTGTTACTTCTACCACTAGAAATGATTACATGTCACTCTTTAGTATCTGATTGTTAGGTTGCTATGGAACCTTCGTGTTTGAAGATGCCTCTTTCTTACTCTGTAGGGAGTGCACCGAGCTCGTCCGGCTCACCCCGAGTCACCATGGAAACAGACCACGCCTCCATGTCGGTCCAGCTGGCTCCGTTCTCCCCCGGCAGCAGTGGCCAGCAACACAAACAGACAGGGACTCCGCCTGTCCCTCCCTCCCCCTCCCTCTCTTCCGCTCAACACTGGAGTACTCCAGTGGAGTCCTCCACCTCCGGGGTACCCCACTCCCCCGCACCCCACTTCACCTCCTCCGCCATCGCCACGGAGTCCAGCATGTTTTCCTCTGTCGGGATCATGTCCTGGTTGCCCCCGGCGACCGCCAGCTCCATGTTGTCGATGGCAACATCCAATGAGGTGTCAAGCTCAGCAGCGCTCCTGCCTCCTCAGTCCAGTACAACAGGTCAGGGCAACGACACTCTGTCTTATCTCACTGCCCATATCTTATCACTGTCCCTTGTCCCTGTTCCGGCTTATCTCGCTGTCTCCGGTGTTACTGACTCTATTTATGCATGTCCGCAGGTTTCATGGCATTGGCTGTTGGAGTGAACACAGCAGCTGCTGCGATCCCTTCTCCACCTTCCTCTCCTTTCTCCTCCAGCCTGATTGCCACGCCCCCTCCCTCCTCCTCCTCCGCATTCCCCCACTCTTCCCTCCTCACCATGCACACACAGGCCCCCCTCCTCACCACCTCACAGTCTTTCCCACAGTCTGAGGTATGTATGTATGACGTCATTGCTTATTCCCAAATGAACAAGAAAGATATTGTTTTTGCGACTCTGCATGCAACACATGCTAATTTCAATCTCTTTTCCTTCCTCGCCCCCAGTCGCCAGTGGTGAGCTTAGACTCCGCCCACCAGAGCTCCACCCAACTGCAAGAGCTGTCGACGCTGAAAGACATGGCAGCCGAGGCCGTGGCTTCATCGGCCCTCCCTTCTGGTCACCATGACGACAAGAAAGAATCGACAACAAACACCATGATCAGACGTATGTATATCCAGCCACTTCCATTTTAGTTTATTCTCCACTAAGAGCCTGAGATTGGGGTGGGTACAGTGAAATAGTACTCTTGCTATTCCACTCTCCAACTGTAGTCGAAGTATTGGGGGCGGTTGGTTTGTCATTTAGTTTTCTCATGTGCCAGCAAAAATGCCAAATCATTGATACTTTGTTTTTGGCGATAGAGGTGAAGGGATGGTGAAATAGCAACTAGGTGAGATGGTCCTCCCTCTCTTCCTCTCTCTCTCCACAGCTCTTTTAGACCACAGTCTGTCGGCTCCCAGGGAGAGGCTAGACACCATGGCATCTCTGTCATCGTCGTCTCGAACTGACACCCAGCTGCAGCCGCTACTGGGAGTGACTCCTCTGGGGCCGATGCAGCTGTCGCAGGAGAAGCTCTATCAACTGAAGATGCTGGAGGCCTCGTGCAAACATGTGCCACAGCCAGCAGACTCTGAGAGAGTCAGGTAGAGACACTTCCTGTATATACCTTCTTTCCTCTCCTCATCTATATTTACCAGTCACCATACACAATGTATTGACCACGTGTAAGTACACCGTGTGATGTTAAAGGGAATATATAAGGGCTAAATTTAGAAATGTTACTAAAAATAGAACGAAACCATTTGGTTCTGTTGTTGTTCTGTCTTCAGACCATACCTGCAGAGGACGCCGTGTCCGACGCCCTCGTTCCACCACCAACATCCTCCGTCTCACTTTGATACCTTTGATTTCTTTCAGAGATTGTCAATTGAGACACTCTTCTTCATTTTCTACTACATGGAGGTCAGCCCCCTCCCCCATGTTCTTCCTCTCCTACTCCCTCTCTCTCTTTTCCTCTCTCTCTCCCTCTCTCTCTCCCTCTCTCTCTCCCTCTCTCTCTTCCTCAACCTTCTATATACTCTCTCTCTCCCTTCCTGAATCTCTTTATCAACCTTTTGTCCATATTTCTGCTCTTTGCCAGTAAGTCATCATTTTCAAGATTTGACTAGATCAGTTGACAGTACTTTTTAAGCGAGTTTCCCAACATTTTTTCTCTGTTGAATTCCTTCCCAGGGGACAAAGGCCCAGTACATGGCGGCCAGAGCACTAAAGAAGCTATCCTGGCGGTTCCACACCAAGTACATGATGTGGTTCCAGAGACTGGAGGAGCCCAAGGCCATCACCGATGACTATGAAATGGTCAGTGAGTCATGTGATCCTCATGTGAGTCTCACGTGATACTGTTTTAACCCCCTCCACACCAGGGTACATATATCTATTTTGACTTTGAGAAGTGGAGTCAACGCAAGAAGGAAGGGTTCACCTTTGAGTATCGGTATCTCGAGGACAAAGACCTTCCTTGAAATCACATGATTGTTTGTTCCATCTCTTTTTATGTCGTCACAACAAATGCAACTCTGTTGTTGATAGCGAGTGCTCTTTCGCTAACCCAGCCCAGCCCCACTTTCCATGCGAGATTTTTGCGTCCCTAGTTGCTTACAAGCATTTAAAAGTGCATATGTAAAAGGGGTCTGGGCATTTTAAATGTCATGGTTGTGTGAAAGTTCTGCTTTATACTCTGAACCTTCTGCAGAAGCAGTGTCCACATTAGTTGCACTCCCCAAGGCTAGTAGCTTCCAACAGCAAGTTTTTTTTCCAGGTGCTTACTAATGGATATCTGAGGATATACATTGGTCCGTGTGCGCTGACGTTGTTGATGGGCTGTGTGTGACATCAACCGTGAATTTAGTTTCATGGAATAAAATATTTTTAGTGACAACTTGGGCTTGGTAAACAACTTATGCACCATCCCTTGTGGTGGTAATACGTTGGTATGTACCTGATGAAAATTAATACTACGTACGAATGGATGTGAAAAAATGTGCTGATTATGAATGTGTGCTGGGCTGAGCTTTAGTCTCTCTCTCTTTACTTTACTTCACAGCCACAAACCCCTCCTGCAATTAGACACAGCGCAATGTTAGCCACTTCACGAGCACGCGAACACTTATGTGGACGACTTTCTTTACGCTTATGCTCAGATGTTTGTAAGTGTGGAATACCTTTGGTTTTGAGAGAAAGCTGAACACCTTTTTCCTCTTCCCCTTTGTGGCTCTGGGGTCCACGGTCACCCCTGTGAACGTCAGCATGCCCAGGCCCTCTGCCACCTCCTGTGGGATACGGAGCCAATATAGGCTGGGGAGTTAGTATGAGAGGTGGAACTTGCGTTGTTGTGCAGTCTGCGGTCTTCGAGGTAAGCCTTGGCTGGGTCGCTCAGGAACTGCACACAAAGTGTGTGTCCTCTCTCTTCTGCCAGGTCCCTGTGTATAGTCCAGAATACAAAATGCTCAGAGTACTATAATCGAAATCCTCTCTAAGGACACCCCTGATATGCGGAAATCTCTGTTCTAATGAAGACACCATTTCTTACCCCAAGAACCGTTCTTGCTAATTGGGCACCTCACTTCATTGTTGTCCTGATTAGAGGCATTCCGCTGTATTTTCAGGTGGTTTGATTAGCAGCTCACTTGGGGATGAACCCGTCGTTATCTGTGAGATTGAGGTCCACGTTGTGACTGTAAAAGACGTGTAGACACTGCAGCTGTCCCTGCTCTGCCGCGTCGTGGACTGGAGTGGCTCCAAAGTCGTCTCTCTCTAGTCCAGTAGCCAGCATGTGGTGTAGCAACCACTGCAGTATGTCAACATGTCCTGCGGCCATTTACATGAAAAACATTAAACTTTCAAGGTGGACAATTTTCGGTAGACAACTAAAACGTAGTGGTAAAGGTGTTACAAATAGTCCCCTACGCAAAAAAAAAATTCGCTAAGAAACTAATTTGCAGTTGGCTCAGAATGTCGGGAAATTAGTGGTAGTTTAATCTAGTTGCTGCAACAAATTTTAGGAGAATTTGTGCTCTGACCTTTTGCTGCTGCAAAGTGTACCGGAGTGGCACCATCGGAGGCTCGACATGATATCGGACAGTGGGCGTAGCGCACCAGCCAGTAGGTGACGTTGAGTCTCCCAGTCTGAGCAGCGGCATGGAGCGGAGTCATTCCGTCCGTGGACGCCAGCTGTGGATCTGCTCCTGCCGTCTCCACCAGCCACTGAATGCAGACCAAATGGCCCTCCTGAGCTGCAAAATAAACTGCAGAAAACAAAGATTTATGGTCAGTGTATATAATGAGAAGTTGAAGTTTACCCACTGCCTACACAACTTTACTCTCTGTTATATACATGGAAAGTGTGTGCGTTTCGTAATGCACATATTAAATTCTGTCACCTGGAGTTTCTCCACTGCTGTTTTTTGCGTTGGCGTTCCCGCCTCCCTTTTGAACCAGTGTCTTGACGCTCTCGAGGTGACCCGAGGCCGCGGCGAAGTGGATGGCGGTTGCGCCGTCGGAATCAGGCTGGTCTGCGTCTCCCCCGGCCTCTAGAAGCTTCTCCAAGCAGTCCTCGTGCCCGCGGTAGGCACAGACGTGCAGCGGAGTGGCTCCGCGGACGTCTCCGATTCTGGCGAGAGAACTCGTCTTTGCCAGCAGCATTCCCAGCACTTCCACGTCTCCCCTGCGCGCTGCAACGTGGGCCAGCGTCGCCCCGTTCCCGGAGCGAACCCCTGCTATTCTCTCCTCCTCGTTGGCTCGCAGTATCTCCCGCAGACAGCCGACGTGTCCCGCCTGCAGTGCTGCCATTGCTGGACTCCCGTCCACCCTACACTCGTGACAGGCCTCTCCGACAAGAAGTCGAGCGTCGTCATATTCCTCCTCTTCCTCCTCTTCTCCACCGCTAATTCTGTCGAGAAACGAGTCCAGATCGTCCAAAACTTCCCCGGGAGTCGCCATGATGTGTCTCTGCATGCACCATAAAGTGGGAGGGGCTCGCGCTATGCGCCTCGCACGCGCGCATGCGCAAACTCGAGCCATGCAGAGATCGGTGGTGGTGGGGCAGTTGGTGAGATTTGCCTCATCCAGCGCTGCAGCGGGAACGGAGAGACTGGTTCTGGGCTGCGGGAGCAATGTCATAGACCACATCTACCGAGTCAGAGGTGCAGTCCCTCTCTATGCCTCTTCCACTAAGATACAGTAAAACTTCTAAACTTGGGAACTGTTCAGTTCGGAGGTAGTTTTTAAGAGGTTTCACTGTATATTTCTCTTTCGACTTGTCAAACAGTGGTCCCTGAAGCTGGTGCAAAGGGCTTTTTCTCAAGGCAAGAAGTGCAGAAAGACTTTCACTGGATGACATGTATACCTCTCCTCCTCCTGCAGTCCGTTCAGAGCCCTGGAGAAGAAGTTGATTGGAGGGGTGACACTCAATCACCTCTGCTGGGCGGCACTGGGCGGAGTTCGGGCGGGGCTCCTGGCTCTGCAGGGGAACGATGAACTGGGGCGACTCATTAGGCGGAGTCTCCGAAACCAGGGTGTGGCCACCGACTTTATTGCTAGTGAGACAAAATAACCTTCAGTTTCATGATATCTTCACGCCATGTGTGTTGTTTACGAACCAATCTGTTCTCCCACAGCTGATGTCTCATATTCAACTGCACAGGTGAGTCTCACTGTTGACCTTTTGTGAAAAGATTGGTGTTCAGTACTGCAGTGTACCAATGTGTATGTACATCTGTGTGTGTGTGTATGTGGAAGAGGAGGAGAAAAGGAAGGAAGGTCTGTGTGTGTTGTTCAGTGTCACGTGTTCATCCAAGACGGAGGAGAGAGGAGTATAATGATGGCGCCAGCTGCAACTTCACTCATCACTGCCGAGGCTGTCAGAGTAAACTTTGGTACATTCTCCATTCTTCCTATAATCTCTCCCTCCACTCAATACTATACTTTGCCACACCGACAGAGCCAGCAATCCAGCAGCGTGCCTCGATGGTAACCACGGAAATATCCCAGGTCCCGCTCTCTGGGGTGCTAGAACTGCTGAAAGCGGCCAAGTAGGTGTCTCCCTCACTCCTCCTGTCTCTACAATAGTGGTCTGAATTCAGGAGAGCTGGTGTCTTGTCAGTGTTGGACCTGGACATACCTCCTTCAGTGAGTTACCAACAGAATTACAACTAGTATAGTGGTAAAATTTTTAAGGGAGAAAACTTTCGCATTTTTTAACTGTCCGCAAATGTTTGTTTTGGGGGACTGGCACATTAATATGTATTGCAGGACACCAGAATCTGCAGAATTTTTTCTGCAAAATTTCCCCTTTTCAACTTAGTCGCGAAAATTTCTCCAATTTTCCCACTATTATGATACCGTGCCACTGTTGTGAAGGTAGCAGAGGAGGAGGCGGAGCTGGGGACAGTGGAAGAGGTGGTGGAGTGTGTCAAAATGGCCGACATCCTGAAACCTGGCAAAGAAGCAGCAGAGGAACTTGTCTCTCTCATGGCTGGCCCTCACCGGTGCGTCCCTCCCTCCAGCTGTTGAGAGCTCGGTGGGCTTTGAACTATGACCTCTGTCGGCTTGTAGCTCCAGCGGTGAGTCGGGTACTGTGGCCGAAGAGTTGGTGAGACTGTGTGGCTCCAAACTGGTTGCCATGACGAATGGCGGGAAAGACTCTGTTTTAGCCAATGGCTCACAGGTATTATACAAGTGATCTGTTATGTAGGAGCTGATTTGCATGTCTCACATTCAAAGTAGAAAACTATAGGTTGACCCGCTCTTCATTCAACAATGATCATACCTTACTTAGAAAAAGGTTGTTGCAATAGGTTGTGGAGGTGGCCCCTCCCCCTGTGAGTGAAGTAGTGGACACTACTGGTGCAGGAGACGCCTTCCTTGGAGGACTCATAGTCGGTATACTAGAGATTACTGACCTTGCATACCCTGAGATTACTGCACTGTATACTCTGAGATTACTGACTGTAGGTATCACTAGGGAAGGGGGGTTGCCAGGCGACAGAGAAGGACTGAGAGAGTTGGGAAGTATTGCCAATGCGTTTGGAGCAGCATGTACCCAATCCATTGGTGGAGTTCCTACCACTAGTTCGAGGTTAGGGATGTAAGCCTGTCTCACACCTAACCATATGAGTTGGCTGGACATGCAGGGACCTACTTCTGCAGTATCTACCTGGACTTGAGCTGGCCCAAGGTCAGGCTGGCTTGAAACTATCTGTAAATGACTTATAATCATGGTATAATATACCTAGCATGAACTTTAGCATTTACATAGCATTTGCCAGTATAGCAGTCCATTCCGCAGGAATAGAACTTATTGCTGTGCTGTATTTTATACAGCTGGGTAGCGATGTTGGTGAAATGACAGGGTTTCACTCTTCCCTGGCGAGCGACCAAGCAGCTGTGTCCTCAGTGTGCAGTTGTCTTGACGACGGGAAACTACAGTCATTTGTGACTGCACTCAATGTCTGCTCTGGCACCATCTTCACCTCAGGCATAGGTCAGCTTTACCTAATGCATTCGAAACCCTCTAATCCAGACACCAATGGGACAGAAGAAGTGTCCAGCATATTAGTGAGGTATCCTTCAGGGGTTAAAGAACCTTTATTGGTGAATGGTGAAGGAAAAGGTGTCCTTATTACAGAGGTGTCCTTGTTTGACCCCATGTACTGTTTGTCTGTGTGCAGGGAAATCAGGAGCAGTTTCCAGTCGGTTTGCTGGCTCCCTCAGCTCACTAGGACTTCCCTCCCACTTTGTGTCAGCTGCAGAATGGACTCACGGAGATCTGGGTATATACACTGCATGACTTCACATAGTCATAAGACGTAAGTGATGATGGGCTGTGTACAGGGAAGGTGTGTGCAGGTAGGGATGTGGTGGTGTTCCTGTCTCATGGCGGAGCTACGAGAGAGTGTGTCGAGGCAGCGTCTTACCTCAGTGCGTCGCTGGAGTGGCTGTTCTAACCATCACCAGTAACCCAGGTAACGTACAGTACCCCAGCATAATGGAACGGCGTTTCTCCAAGTACTGTCTCCTCTATCAGATTCAGAGCTAAGTCGACTGTCCCTAGCCTCTCTCACCTACCCTGCCAAAGGGTTCACGGAACCATTCCAAATGATGCCCACCTCCACCCTAGTTGTTCAGGTACAATGGTGCTAGTAAATCTCCGAAAAGGCCACGTGTGTGTAACAATACCTCCAAACAAGGGATGCCTTCAGATTTCAATGTCCCTAGGTGTCCCTTATTCAGAGGGGTTCATTTTCAGTTTAACCAAATTGATCTTGTGGCAATGCTATGCAGGAAATGTTATGTAATGCTCTGCTGTGTGAGCTGATTCAGAGGAGAGGCGTAACCAAGGAGACCTTCCTTGGCAACCATCCTGGAGGGAGCATTGGAAGGAACCGCTAGCTAACCTCTCAGCTGTTGTGTTTGCAATTGTTGTCTCACAGTCTCACACATTAGTTTTTGATTGTGCAGAATGTCAGAATGATAAAAGTGATTTTAACCACAAACTAACAGTTGCATCATGTATATATAAAGCAATTCACAAACTTACACACAAACACACACAAACATGCATGGAATGCTGAACTATAGCAAAACAACAGCAGTCATCTAGTTACACACAATCTGAGTTCCACACTTTTCACTCCATCCCAACCTCCCCAATTCTTCAAATCCACTCCCTCCCCCTCCCCCCAGCTAGTTGCTGGCAGTAGAGTGCATACTCTCTGTGCTACTGTGTAGGAAACCAGGATCCACCTTCCGCAAATTGATGCTCTCGAATTCAAACGAAGTCGTTCCTCGCGGGGACATGTTGATGTCAAGGTTCAGTTTGGGTGTGTTGGGCATGGGTGGTAGGAAGTTAGGAATGTGAAGAAGCGTCTCTTTTTGGTCGCTCGGTTGGTAGGGGATGCTTCGACTCTCCGGGATAGACCCGTTCACTTTCAGGTGCCCATCGCCTGTGGAGGTCTTTGTCACACTGAGTCAAGAGAGAGAAGTTGGGTACACCATAACTTCGGCAGCACAATACTCTTTTTGCCACACTTTTGCCAGCCGACCACGTTAAAAAAAACTTCACTAACGGCTGGTTTCAAGTGAACAACAACACCAATGGGACAGAAGAAAGTATGTACTAGAGAAGCATCCCAGATTTACAGGTTGAATTGCATACTGTTCTTTGGGAAAGAAAAGGTGTCCTTTTTAGAGAGGTGTCCTCATTTGAGAGGTGTCCTAGAGAGGGGTTCCACTGAAAGGGGAATTTGTCACCTGGGGACAAGTATCTGCAGAGAGCCATCTTCCTCCCGCAGGTGACTGACATCATTGGCGCTGTAAGATGTGGCTAGGACTGGCTCCACGCCCAGCCCTCCCCTCCCTCCCCCTGCTCCTCCTCTTTCCCTCTCCCCCTCCCCCTCTTCCTCCTCTTTCTCCTCAAAAACACGGTCCATTGACGAGTCATTTGACCTCACCTCCACCCCAGCTATATAGAGGGGGAATGGAGAAGTTCTTCTCTTGGCAGCAGAAATGTAATCCCCCATACACATCCCTCAGTGCATAAAATGCAGTCTAGCTACTCTATTTTTGATGCCGCCAAAGTGCACAAACACAATCGGCTGAGCTAACTTCTCCAATTGTGCTCTAGGCAATCAAAATACTAGTGAATCGTGGGCTTACTCTTTGCCACAGAGGTAATGGGGGCCGAATCTCTCCTTAATGAGAGGGGCCGCCCCCTGGGGGCCATGAGAGCATCAATGAAATTGGCAGTGTAGGGGGAGGCTGCGAGGGAGGGGCCGGCAGCCAGGTAGATGTCGTCCATTGACACACTACTGGATGGGTGACTGTGGGAGATGCTTAGCTGGAGACAGAGAGAGAGAGATGAAGGAGTGAGATTGGAGAACTTCGGAGCGAGAAAAGGCAAAAGTTGGGAGCGAGATATGGAAAATGTGAAAGTTTGAAGCGAGATTTGGGGAAAACACGAAATTATGGAGCGAGGGGAAACATAATACAACAGTGTTGACTTGCAGTGTGACTCCCATAGCTGCCACACTCACCTGTCTTCTGGTGAACCTCTCGGGGAGACAAGGGCTGGTGAAGTTCATGTCACGTGACAGAGTCTGTGCCTTTGTTCTCCGAGGACCCGTCCCAGTAACCCTCAGTCGCGACAGTATACTGCTGTGCAGAGACCACGTGTACACCATATAATACACACCACCAACGTCCACTCTGTGCTTCTGCTCTTTTCATTTCTATCCATGTTAGCGTGCTAAACACCTTACTACATAGCCACGGATAATAGAGCATATGGCAAGTTGCACAAGTTCTTGTATCTACTAATCTTCTACTAGTAAGAGCACCTTCTTCCCTGTGAGGTAATGCTGTTTGCTGCCTTCACCATGTCGGTGTACTGGGGACGACTTGACAAATCTTGGATAGATGTCGTTCTGCATCAACTGGTAGATCTGCTCCTGAAAACAGAGTGTGCCCCATATATTCATTAGTTATTGTCTGAGGATTTTCAAGAGATCGTGTTCAACAGGCATGTCACTCTATTCTTGGGATCTCATAATTACGTGACTTTCTCTGGATGACACTTGCTTTGCAGGGTTATATGTCCATACATTTGAGAAATCCAATTTTCACTTTCAAGTTAGGGACAGCCTCCGTTATGAGGTCCATACCTGTGCGGCGGTGAAGGAATAGCGTGACGGAGATTTCAAATCCTTCTCCACTTCCTCCTGCACCTTGGCACTCACGTTCACCTCCCTGCTGGCTCCTCGTTGCAGGAACTCACTACATACACACACACACACACACACATGCAGAGAAAGAAAACAAGGGGAATTTATTTAGACCCTCAGAATACACTTAGCCTGGTGCTACAGACACAGTGATAACTTATGTCACAGAGTTATAGCCAGCTGGCCATTCCACACAACATTATATATGTATACAATCTTATTTCCTTGTCGAGTATAAATACAGAATACATATATATACCCAGGCTCTCGAAGGGACAAATTTCAAAATCGAGCAAATTGCATATAGCCAAATTTCTCCTATTCCCTTCCACCAGGCTGCCAAATTTTATATTAGCTACGATAATTCATGGCTGCATAATTGGCAATGCCTCCTGCATTATAGTGTGTACTGCTACATTACTGATGTTAAGGCTCTTGCCAATGACCTAAGGAACCCCGATTGTTTCCATTTCTCTGTCTGGAAACTCCGCTCTCTACAGACGTTCTCACTCGTATATCAGTTTGACAGAGCCCTCGACGGCGGAGAGAGGGATGGAGCGAAGGTCGCGACCGGTCTGCCAGAACTTTATGTTCTCGGAGCAGAACTGTTTCTTGCAGAACTTCTCGAAGTGGTAGCGACCGGTCACGTCGTTGAGGAGGTCTGAGAAGGAGCACGCCCAGCGACGCAGCTGCCACTCATTAGGGGTATCCATACTGAGAGGAAAGAGAGGTAAGAGAGTGAGAGAGAGAGAGAGAGAGAGAAGAGGGGGGATGAAAAAGAATGAGATGAAAATTTCATTCAGAAGTGAACCATCTGTCATGAAACAAACATTTCATGGATTACTATCCCTGTGGGTTCCTCCCCACAATAATGCCTCACTAAAGGCTCCCAATACTCCATTTTGAAATTTCCAGGCCATGCGACCAATAATATGGAGATGGGGGTGAAAGGGAAGAGGGACAGGGAAACAAACTCACAGCGATCTTTCAACATCCCAGAGAGTTTCGTCGCCCGATATCCAGGGGTTGCTAGGCGATACGGGGGTCAACATGGGGTCAAACTCGCGGTACTTGCAGCAGTGTCCGATGAGACTCTCCACTGCGATGGAGATGTGGACCCGCGGAAGCACGGAATAGCGACGCAGGAACCGGACCTCTGCTCTCAGAACTCCCTCCGTCACCGCCTAACAACAGACACGACATGAACACAACATGGTGGTATGTATGTAGTTTGTACAACAACACATGTAGTAGACAACTTGAAAATACCGCACTACAATTGTTCCTCACAGATGCTCTTTCTCTAAACCATTATGCACTTACCTCATTTATGAGCTTGAGTGGTTAGATTTGGTACGTGCAAGTGAAGGGGGGATTGGGAATGGGGAGTGGGGGGGGTTGACTGACCTGCTGATGCCAGCTGGGTCTCTGACAGAAGTGTCTGGTCAGCAGAGACTCTCCAACGCAACTCTCGTTTGGGCTGAAAAGGGTTAACAGACCAAAAAAAATGGAAAATGCCTCAGTGGCCTCTTGGGAAAGAACAGAGAGGTTAGTAACTTGAGGAGACAGGGATGAAAGAAGACTGACATGTGAGCTGGTGTATGTTGCCACGCACGGCCTACTGGAGTTCCTTCTCAGCTGGGCTACTGGTTCACAACCGCTATGGACTAGCTAATTCTACCCCATTCGTCCTATTAGCCACAGTTGGAAACAGCGCATGAGGATTAGCTCTACTGGTTTAGATAGTGCGTTGCTTGACACTTTCTGCATTTTACTGCAGTTATATATACATACTGACAACTGGCATACAATACACTGCTAGAGGTGTAAGTACTCAACTTACTGCAGGTCTGTGGAGTCTCCAGAACGCCTCCTCCTGAGAATTCATGATAGCTCGAGCCACTCTCTTCTGCTCTCTATAGATCCTGCACAGAGAGAGCGTTGTATATAGTCAGAGACAGCACACTGGCAGTGGCCCAAATTTCCATCAACCACACGTCTCCTCTTTCAATCAGCAACCCCTACTCCCTTTCTGATTGATACTAAATTTCCACTCCCTCCCTCTCTACATACGCGCACACACACACAGCAACATCAACACACTGAAGTTGACTTAGTAGGTGAGTCATAGTGGAACAGAAATTTACTCACTTTACAGCCTCTTCGGCTTTATTTGTCACATCCCTCCAGGCATTGGCGAGCTTGGGTTTCATCTTGTGGAGGTTGGTCTGCGGGACACACAGGTCATGTGATGCATCATGTGACATCATGTGATCCCAGTAAGAAGGTCCCAATGTAAAACTGTTCACATATTCCTTTGTGTTCACGTAGTGTTTCCACACAAGTGTTTCCTCCCAAAGCACACATGCATATACGCAGAGAGAGAGAGCTGCTTTGAACGCAGTTGCTTTCTATAGCAACTCCACCAGCTATGTTAGTGCGTGTGTGTGTGCGTGTGTGCATGCCCACCAGTTCATAGTCCAGAAGCCTGATTTTGTTTTTGCTCCTGAGAACCTGCTTCACCAGATACACACCTACAGAGGCACCAGAGAGAGAACCATTTGTTTGTGACACCATTTACATCTGGCACAACGTAACTACAGCATTCTGATTCGGAATGATTTCGTGAAACTCACCATATTCGAAATCGGTGGTGACTGGGTTCTGTGAAGGCCAGTAGTAAGGTGTCTGGGGTGGAGAGAGGGAGAGACAAGAGAGAGGTGAGCTGGGTACGTGAGTGTGTGAATCAGGAAGAGAACTGCATAGTTGGTTAACAGGTCACAAGACACACCTGAAACCTAAAGAGAGTTCCGTCGTCCCTGAGAGCAACGGAGCCCTCGACGCTGAAGAAATAGCCGTGAGCCACCATCATCCTTCCGAAATGGACGGCCTCTGACAGAGAGAGAGAGGGGGGACCCGTGATTAGGGAGTTTGAAGGAATGCTAGATTGTAAGATTACGGAGTCTGTCTACACTGTACTATCTACAGCCAAGTGGACAATAGAATAACTACACAGGGGGAACCAAGGTGATTATGAAATGAATGAAGTTAGTGGATCATTGAGCTGATCAAAAGAGGGAGAATAATGAGTGGCCAGACATTTTGGATTATATTTAGTCGTCAATAGAGTGTTGGATTGGCCGAGAGAGAGGTCCTTGGTCCAGAACTGACTGGCTACCTTACCTTTAGAGTCCAGGTTGAGGTTGCTCATAAGCCAGACCACCAGATCGGAGCCTGTGTATTAGGAAACAGCTGTGACACACCGGGACTAACACGCAGTCCTTCGTGACTGCACACTAGCTCAAAATGCAAGAGGTAGAGGGAAGAGAGAGAGTGTGCACACAAGAGAGAAAGATGGAGAGAGGTGTGCATGTGTGTGTGTTAGTTCACCAGTGAAAGCGGAAGGTATGGCCGAAATGAGTCTCCGTTTGTAAGACTTGATGGGCACTCCTTGCTCAGAATGTAACATCCTCTGGGCTATTGCCTGCATCTGGTGGCGGTAGACAACACAACAGTTCAGAAGAACTGAACTACACACAAACACACAATGCTACTAGTAAGCATGGGAACTAGGTCAGGAAGATTGGATAGTTAAAGCAGCAGACGCCTAGTCTAGGCTGATCAGGCTACAATTACACCTCCAGGGAAACAAACTACTGCCAGACTCTACAAAACTTGCCTCCCTCGTGGGGAAACCGACGAAATCACCTTACCTGGTGTGTCCCGTATATATGTAACAGCTAAACGGAACGTTGCAGACGTTTCTTGCTCATTCGTGTGTGCTGCTTTATCACCGTGTGCCTGACCTTGGAGTAGAGCATGGGAGTGCCTCCCGGCGGGGCTGGGCTGTGCGCGGCTCTCTCGCTCGGAGCATGACGGGACATGGCGGCCGCAGACGGGGCAGCCGTAGAAAGGAGCAACGGGCTGAGCAGGGGGAGCATGCTCAGTCCGTGCTCCGGGGTCATCTTCTGCTGCTGTCTGCTGCTCATCGTAGCTGGACAAAGAGGGTTAGAATCTTCACTCCATTGTGCAAGCTAAACTCGGAAGAGAAGGCGTGAAATTAGCTCAAAATCGGACATCCGTCGTCGGTTTCCGCGATCATCGCCGCGTTGTCGGTGCGGAAGACTACTCTAATAGGAGCACACCTGGTTCCACAGACTGCGCATGCGCACATGGGATCGTTTCATTTCCCCTCTAAAATCGTGAGTCGGCGAATCTGCTTCTTCTCTCTCTCTCCCCCGGCGTTCTTCTTACCCTGTGTGAGTCATTGTCGTATTTTCTTCTGAGTTTGATCGGCGCGCGCTCGCATGGATAGCTTATCCAGGGGTAATACGATGAAAAATGACGACGTAGTCGCTGGTCTGGACCGTTTTCGTGGTTACTTTAGGCGACCTTTCTGCCGCTGAGCGAGAGTAGACCTATTATTATTTCAGCTGTATATCCGCCGTACGTGTGTACGTCAGCAAGACTATCGATCTGATCGCGCCTATCTCTCCCCGCTACAGTATCAACTGAGAGCCAGTGAGGATGTCTGAGGAAGAAGCGCAGGCAGCAGCCCAGGCCACCGCAGCTGTAAGTTATAGGGGCAAACCTGACGTTCTAATTAGTCCCAAGTGTTTCTACTTACCCATGGCCAAATATGGGTAAGTGGGTATGTGGTTCTGGTTCCCCTTCTTCTGTATGTACCTCTCCCGCCTGTCTGTTACACTTCTCCCTCCCTCTCCCTCTATCTTTTGTAAGTGTGTGTTGTTCTAATAGCTGCGTGTGTGTGAGCACTGTACTTGTACAAGTGGAGGCAAAAGCTCTGTTGTTTTTCTAAGCCCTAGTACCCAGGGCCCTCTCCGTGAAACTATATACCATTTGTAGGTAGTACAGGTATATGGTCATCACCACTGCCTTATGAGTGAGCAGAGGTTCATTGTGGTATGCCCCACTCCCTATACACCTTCAGGGTATTGTGTTTAGTTTAGTGGATAGCTGGTGGCAGGTGAAGCATGCCATTTTCGTAATGCAACTCCACTAACTCATCATAACACGATATGGCCTCGTCTGAATGGACAGGAAGTGCAGAGTAATGCTATGTATGAATGTGTGGGCCTTTTTCCTACCTATAATCTGGATCCAAACTTCCACCCCTGGGTTCTGTCTGTGTGGCACAGGATGACGAAGAGGATGAACTGACGCCCGGCTACACAGCTCCCAAGAAGGTGGACCTGAAGACACTGCAGGAACTGGATGCAGACGACGAGTCTCTTGTGAAGTACAAAGCGCAGTTGTTGGGGCAGACAACCGACGTAAAAGGTCGGTTTGCCTTCCTTTAAGCCTTTTTGACACACACACATTTCCCCCACCCTTCTCTTGTCTCTCTCGTACAATCAATTAATGTGGTAAGGTCTCAGTGTATTTGTGGTATAAAGTGCTGGACAGTTATTTCTTATATGCCGTGGGCATCTTTTGTTTCAAGATCGCTGCTGTTTGTACCGGAATGTGTGCCTTTGGGAGACATTGGTTTTCATTCCTTTGACCGTTTGTGTTCAATAGCAGTTTTCTCAAGGGCCAGCTATTGGGTCTGGTGTATAATACACAGCAGTTAAACTCTCCCTCCCCCTCTCCCCCCTGTCCCTACAGATGAGGGTGGGGCAAATGTGTTAGTCCAGCAGCTGATTCTGGAACCAATCGATCATGCAGCTTTCACTCTGGACCTCAATGGTATCCTATCATGTCTACAGCACTTACATTTCTAAACTTGTGAATGACACACTGGGTGCCATGTATATATGCAGTGTAACAATCCCAGTGTGTCCAGAATTGGCACAGCATTTGTGTTCTTATTGCTTAGAGTTGACCTGGATAACCACACTTACAAGGAGGTGCACTGTTTAGCTTGTTCCTTCTATATAGGAGACCTCGCCAAATTGAAAGACTCACCTATCACCATCAAGGAAGGCTGCGAATATCGTGTCAAGATTGTCTTCCGTGTCCAGCGGGATATTGTCTCCGGCCTTCGCTACGCACAGAACACCTACAGGAAAGGAATCAAAGGTTGGAAGGTCTTCTATTTAAAGCCCATCTATGTATCACAACCCCTCTCTCCTTTGCAGTTGATAAGAGTAACCTGATGGTTGGTAGCTATGGGCCCAAGACTGAGGCTCACGTCTACCAGACGCCACTCGAGACGGCTCCGTCAGGGATGATATCTCGTGGCACCTACAACATCAAGAGCAAGTTCACAGACGACGACAAAAACTCCATCAAGGAGTGGGATTGGGTGCTCAATATCAAGAAGGACTGGGCGTGATTCATAGTCTTCGCAAATGTTTACACTGCAGACGTATTTAGTGCTTTTAATTTCTAGATGAACTCGCCATTAATTAAGGATTTGTGCTGTTTTTTCTCTTCGCATAAATGTGTGTGCGTCGATAATTCTCTGCGGATGGTGCTGTTTTTTTGCGCATGCGTGGCGGGTTCGGAGATCGCCCAGCTGAGAGAGCTACCCAGTGCAGATGCCCCTGCAAGGACGGCTTATTATTTCCACGTTCAAGCTTCGGTCTACACTCTCGTGCCTAGCAAGTAGAGGTTAGGAGACTGTGGCGCGCTGCATAACGTTTTGGTAAGCAAATACTCCCCCCCAGGAACCGGGGTTGCTGGGGTTTTTTCTCCTCGCGGAGGTGCTGTTGCAGCTAGCAATAGCAAGATGTCGTCCTCAGCCGTGCTGCACACCAGCACCAGTGTGGAGTCTCTGGGGGCCCTGACCGTCCGAGTTCTGCCTGCGCTCCAGGACAACTACATGTACCTGGTAGAGGACCCCGTCACGAGAGAGGCCGCCATAGTAGACCCTGTTGAACCCGAGAAAGTCAGTGGGTTTAGTGCCTTTTCCTTTGCTGAGTTTTCGATGCTCTTTTGTATTATGTTCGTGTGTAGGTATTGTCAGCGGTGAAGGAGAGTGGGGTGAACCTCACGACTGTACTAACCACTCACCATCACTGGTATAATGTGTGTATATATGAATCAGTCAGTGGGTAAATGGTTGGACCTGGCAGGGATCATGCCAGTGGAAACGAAAAGATGGCGTCTCTGCTGCCTGGTCTGAAGGTGTGTGGAAATGACTCTCGAATCGGAGCTCTCACAGACACTGTCCAACACAACCAAGAGCTAAAGGTACGATACACCTCTTGTTCTCTCTCATGGAGATATGTGCTGGAGTCTCTGTCTGGTTGTGGGCTGACAGATTGGTCAACTGACTGTGAGGTGTTTGGAGACTCCGTGCCATACCTCGGGACACATCTGCTACTACGTGACCTCTCCTGACCTTTCCAACAAGGTTGTGTTTACAGGTATAGCCATCCAGTGCAGAGAGAGATGAGTTTTGGCAAGAGACCCCGCATCATGGAAAATCAACATTTTACTGTTGCCTGGAGTAATCCAGTGTGTATTGATTGCAGGAGACACTCTGTTTATTGGAGGCTGTGGGAAGTTTTTTGAGGGAACTCCCCAGCAGATGTACTCTGCCCTCTGTGAGGTCCTCTCCTCTCTTCCCCATGATACAGTGAGCCACACCTACCAATATCTATGATGGCACGCACACAGGCTGTTGGACAAGAGTGCCCTGGTTCATACAGTACGTACCTCTTCCCTATTAGCTGGTGTTCTGTGGCCATGAGTACACTGTGAGCAACCTGAGGTATGCCACACACGTCGAGCCACACAACGCGGCCGTTTCAAACAAACTGGAGTGGGCTAAGGTATCCAACATCCTGCCACAGACAACGGTGTCTAATGATCGCTGTATAATGTATAATGAAACCTTCATCAATACAACAGATTATGAGCCATCTACGAGTTTCCCAATGTGTATATTTTATCGCCGAAATATGAACGTTTTCTCCCATGTAACTTTTCCCGCTATACTGTATTTTCCTGTAGGGTCAGCGACTGACAAACATTCCAACAGTCCCTTCCAGCATTGAGCAAGAACTGACATTCAACCCTTTCATGAGAGTCAAGTTAGTGTCTGTCCCCCACCGCCTATCATACCAGTGTGCAGTGGTGATAATACACATCCTCAGGGAGGCTGATGTGATGTCACACTGTGGGAAATCTGACCCCTGTGGATGTGATGGGTTGCCTCAGAGAAGAGAAGAACACATTCAAACCCAAACTGTGACCAACAATCTTATATACACTTTGTCACCATACAATTCTGATATTACGAATCAAGAAGATTGGCAGTTTGTATAAAAAAATATTATTCACACATGAAGTACTGTAGATTGTGGACAAGTGAAAGTGAACCGTCTCTCCATGAAAAAATTCCACCTGACAGTACTCCTATGGCGGAGTTTCACTGACTGGTATCATGAGACATGGAACGACACACACACACAACAGAAAGCAAAAAGGAATAAAAAAATAGACAGCTCTTCTTATAATACAGTTACCACCTCCAGCGTACCCCTCTCGTTCCCCAGTTTATGAGGCCTCCTCCGTCTTCTCCTTGAAGGAGAGGGAGGAGGAGAATATTCAGAAACGGGACTGGCCCTGTTTCGGCCCGTCGTTCAGAAACTCGTGCCCCAGCCCATTGCTACACTTGGCGCACGAGACCTTGAGAGCCGAGGGACTCTCCTCGTACTTGGAGAGGCTGTCCGGTTTCACGGTCTCGGTGAAGGCCGGCCACGGAGACGAGTGCTCGAATTTCTTGGTGCTGTAGAACAGCTCGTTCCCGCACTTGGAGCACACGTAGATGCCTGGGGAGGATGCCAATACGTGTGAGAGTCACAACAGGACAAGCAGGACAGCGGAAACTTACCAGACTCAAAGTGATCCTTGTATTTCTCCCCCGAAAACCACCCGCAGTAAGACATCTTCGACCCTTGTTTTTGTCGCCTTCGCAGTGCTGCTGCTGACTCAGCGGAAGTCGTCTCACGACCTTATCCTTTGCGCATGCGTGGTAACACCCCTTTTCCTAACTGCACATGGCGGATTGGTAAAGACACAAGGTGAGCAGCGCCCAATCCATCCTCATCTTACTTAAGGGGCCTCAGAACCGCCCAAGAAAGCCCCTGTATGTAACTACCTGTTGTATTTCTTCCAGTCATGGTGCGTATGAGTGTGCTGAACGACGCCCTGCGGGCAATCTGCAACGCGGAGAAGAGGGGGAAGCGACAGGTTCTCCTGAGGCCCTGCTCAAAGGTTCTGGTCAAGTTTCTCACTGTCATGATGAAACACGGTGAGTTGCCAAGTCTCTGAAGTCGCCCTGACTCGGCAGTATTATGGTGTGTATCAATTGGAGTATTCTTGCTCAACCATAGGCTACATTGGTGAGTTTGAGATCGTGGACGACCACCGAGGAGGCAAGATTGTCGTCTTCCTAAACGGCCGACTCAACAAGTGCGGAGTCATCAGTCCACGCTTCGACGTACCAATTAGTGAAATTGAGAAATGGGCCAGGAACCTCTTGCCTTCCAGACAGTTTGGGTGAGTCTTCACCTTAGCTTCCCACATATTTATCCCCCTCTCCCTCCCACCTCTCTGGTGCAGGTATATAGTGCTCACCACATCCTCTGGAATCATGGATCACGAAGAGGCGAGAAGAAAACACACGGGGGGGAAGATACTGGGCTTCTTCTACTGAAACTGGGCCCCCACACTTTCCTTGTGTATACCTCTTAGATTGTGTGTGCCATATTATTTGAAATGGGAATTTTCAAAACGAACTGTTCTTCCGCTACTGCAATCAGTAGCTTAGAGACCACTATCGATAGAAAGATGTGTAAAGTTATGATATTTTATTATGGTATCTGCCCTGCTGGGATGCTGTGTGCATGTTTTTGTACTGGTTCTGTAGTGGCTGAAGTACGGCTTAGAGCCTTAAAATGGGCTCGAATTCCCCCTAAACCAGCCCTTATAACAGCCAAAGTTCCTCTCCAGAGTCATTGTACCACACTGAACAGAGTTGGTCAATTGTGACAATGAAGTGTCTGTGTGCAGTGATCTTGAGCCTGTGTCTGCTGGGAGTGTCTCGTGTTGCTTACTGTAAGTATACCTTTCACTAGCTAGAGGTTTACTGTAAGTATACCTTTCACTAGCTAGAGGTCTACTGTAAAACTGCATAAAATACTGCACCTGCAGCTGATGATGAAGTGGTTTTGGTTGGAGCTGACATGAATGACATTGCGAGAGAGGCCCTGTCTCTGGTGCAGCTGACACAGCACACTCAGCCGGGCGAGGAGATGAGGATCTTTCCTGGTCTGGCCAGCTTCAACTGCCCTGGCAGCATCTCCAGCATCCTCTTCATCGCTGACAGCAATGCTCCCCCCGAATCCTCCATCACACTCTCTTTCTGGAAGCCTAGGGATGTATCGGGCAGGTTCCTAACAGCAAGTCAAGGAGACAGTCATGAAGTGATCCGGAAAGACATCGAGCTCATCTCGTCATCAGGAAATATTGCTTTGTATCGAGCAGCATTGTCTTCACCTCTGGAGTTCACGAGTGGAGAACTGTTGGGGGTAAGTGAAGGTGGTCTTGCTCTGCAGTACATCTACAGACAAGGCCCAGAGAACTTTGTGTTTTTTGAAAACACTACCGACTCTGGTGACTCCATATTTGCTGGTAGTCCTGTTGCTGCTGTTCGTGACCTCCCTCTGTTGAACCTGGAGAATTTCAACTGTAGCGGAGCTTGTAAGTCAAAAAAGTGATCGTGTGTTGCAACTGTTACAAGAGATTCATTTCTCAGGTGACACTGCGTGTGTTGATCATTTCTCCTATGACTCAATGGATTTGGAGCAGTTTCTAGAAATGAACACCGATTCAACGGTTTTTACTCCATTTCTGGGAAGTCCCAATACCCCTCCTCTTCTTCGATTCACTAACGATGGAATTATCACGAGATGGTCAGTGAATGGGAAGTTAGGCTCAGATATGCCAGAACTGGCAATATGGAGGCTCAATGGTGCCGGTGCAAATGCAGTGTACCAGATTGTACAAGGAACCACTGCAGTTTATAAATATACAGATTGGGAGACTTTAACGTTTGTTTTTCAAGAAATTTTGTTTCGAGAAGGGGATGTGCTGGGGGTGAGTTATCTCGGCAGGCAGAGGGTGGAGTTGGGGGAAATATTACTGGGTTCAGATGGCTATGGATCTGGATCTGGATCTGGATCTGGATATTGTGGATCTGGATACGATCCTGAAGACGCTAAGAGTGGTGTGATTGAAATCTCACTTGCAGTCGGTAAAAAAGAAGTCTGTTAATCCTTTCCATTTCAATACCCAATCTTTTTCCGTACAGATTTAGACATCAGTGATGGAGCAATTGTGTCAGATCAGGTAGCTGAACCCGTCATTTCCAACGAAGCCCTCTTCAGCAATACACACTCAGACACGGAGTACACGGCATTCCCACAATTCTCTATTCCCGTCAGTGGATATCTCAAAAGGTGGTTGTTTGCAGTGCAGGTTACTCCAGTCCTCCGTCCCGACCAACGTAACCTCCAGCTGCAAGTCTGGAGAGAGGCACCAAACGTCCTGATTCAAACGTTCAGTCTAATACACTCCATCAATGTCAGTGTTGACCGAGGAGCTGTGCCTGGGGGACCACTTGGTACATGGGAGATTATCATCCAGGAACCTCTTGCAGTCGAGCCTGGGGACATACTCGGGTTCCACCAACCACCTGTTGAGCTGCGATTGGCTCTGCTGAACGGCTCAAAGACAACTGCACATGAGCTGATTCTCCTGCATGTAGAAGATCCATTCCTTCTGACAAGGTCCAGAGGCAACACGGAGCAGGCAACCCCACTCATGGCGGTGGAAATCTTACCAGGTTTGCCCACTTTTTGGCTTGAATGACTTGTATTTACATAACATCACTAGATTTAGGAATGGCATGTCGAATCCGTTCATGAAATTTTCCTCTGGGAGTATCCTCTGTCCTCTCGGTTGATTCCTTGCAGATCCGAAGCCCTCTCCCTCTCCAAGTCCAACAACAAGAAGTCCAACAACAAGAAGTCCAACAACAACAACACCAACCATAGCAGTGACAACAGGAGACGATGAGGCCCTGTTGTCGCGAGGCGAGACAATCACCACTGCCACTGTGTCAGTAGCAGTGGTGATAGTGGGAGCAGTGCTGGTCGGACTTATTCTACTCTACGGCTGCAAGAAGCTCTGCTACACAGAGACTAAGCTCCAGCACAAGAGCAGTCTCTACTACACAGTCCCAAAACCTCATTCGGAGAATTCTCTCTCCAGTCACGTCTTCCTCAGGTCGCACGTTACTACACCTGAACCGGACAATGTGACATAGTGGACCTTGATTTTCTACTAATTTTATAAGGACACTTTTATTGAAGGTATATTGCATGACCAGAAAAGACACAAACGTGCAAAATGCGCATGCGCATGCGCACGCCTCGAAAATAAAGCTAAGCTGCTGAGCTCATAGCATAGTAATATAGCAGTAGCTTTGCCTATAAATGCAACTGGGTGTTCAAGTTGGCGGCATGTCGCTACTATTTCCGCACCGGCGGCGCAACAGTGGAGCAAATAGAGCGATGAACACCGGGTCGTCCTCTACGACGTGTTGCGCGGTGGATTGGACCACGAGAGAAGCGGAGGTGGGGGCCCTGGGCCTCCTGATCTATCAGGCCGCTAAGGAAGGCAGCACGGAAGGCCTCAAGTTTGCACTCAGTCGCAGGGGAGGTGAGCAGAGGGTGACGTAGTAGCTAAAAACATTTGTGCGAGCTGGTTTGTCTATGGACAATATTTTATGCAGCCAGGGACCACATCGACTATCGAGACTCCAACACTCAATACGTAAGGAATACTTTGTGGTTCTGTACAGAAGTCAATGGGAATTTTAGATGGTTTTCTCTTTTCAATTCCTCCTTTCGGCTGCACACATTATGCAGACGCCACTGATGGCTGCAGCAGCTAACGGCCACCTCCATTGTGTCAAACTCTTGCTGTCTCATTCGGCAGACATCAACTTCTCCATCCCAGGCCCGAAATCTCGCTCGACCAAACAGACCGCATTTTCCCTTGCCTACAAGCATGGCCACAGTAATGTGGTGGAGTATTTACAGGCCTGCTTGGGTAAGGAACTCTACCTGTGGAGTCAGGTGGTGTACTGGTTTAATGCAATCTTTGGTGAAATGTGCAGATGATCTGGCCGGTGGTAACCCCACAAGAGCTCAGATCGAGTCAGGTATGTGTAAACTAACAGCTCACACTTTACTAGAAAGAAAGCAGAGACAGGAGCCAAATAGGATCACCTCTATAGGGCTTCAATAATAACCACAGGGTCTTACTACATAGGACTAAAAAAACATGCGCAAAGTGGTGGCAAACACAACACAGATGCATAAAGCATTGCTGTTCAGTACTGTATATATAGCTGCATAGTGAATGCCCATTTGCTCTGTTTTCTCTTCTCACCAGAGGTTATCTCAATAGCTGAAAACCCTAAGTCTACTGCGGTGTGTGTGGAGGAGTTCCACAGCAAGCTCCGCTGGCTGATGGACAATTGTGGTTACACGCTGGACGCAGAGGACGAACAGCCTTCACTACTCATCAGGTTCGAGTATCACATGGTTCTTATAGATAACAATTTAACACTAAATATGGAATGAGAAAAAAGGAAATTGAATGTATATCCCTTCATACTCACATACACATTCTGTCTTTCCCCTTTCTTCCTCCTCCCCCTCTCTTTTTCTAGGGCAGCCAAGGCAGACAATCATCTCATAGTCTACGACCTGGTGGAAGAATTTAATGCCCCCACATTTTCCACCCACCCAGAAACGGCAGAAAATGTCCTCCACTTTGCCTGCCACAACATTTCTCCGCTACGTTTCTACTTCATCAGCAGACACCGCGAGCTACTCTGCATCCCAGATCGTCAAGGCAACTCCCCACTCCACATTGTCTGCAGTAACAACGACCTGGAGTTGGTACCTTGGCTCTTCCGTGGCGTTCTGGGTGGGGAGGAGAGAGCGGGGAGACTGGGGAGATTGCCAGTTGGAATCTCTCGAAATTCTGGGAGCCTTCCCCGAAATTCAGTCCCCAGTCCCAACCTTGGGAGTAGCTATCATGGGTTACTTGGGGCCCCAAGGATAAGAGCTGAGACAGATGCACCAAATCCCCAGCCTTTGCCAACGGAATCGTCGTCCATTGGCAGGTCTTCCAGCCAGGTTCACGTGAGCGAGGCATCACTGGAGGTACCTCCAACTGAAGCCACCAGAAGCAACAGCGAGATTGGTGTAACTGAGAAAGACTTGAGCGACCAAAGTGAAGGTTTGATTCAACTCCCTAATGGAGAGCTGGAGAGCAGCAGTGGCAATGAACCAGCACCAAGTCCACAGACTAGGGTAACGTTCACAATTCCGGAAGATTCCGAGCCCCCCGAAATTCCACCTCCTTGCAGCCCACTCCCAGCATCCTTCATCTCAGACATACGGCTGTTCCGAAAGAATACTGCCGGAGAGAGCATTCTCCACATTCTGGCCTCCCGTGGACACTCGGAACTCCTGGAAACCATCCTGAAGGTCGCCGAGCGAATCAGGTACGCAATGGCAAAGGACGAACTGGAAGTGGTGACGGAGAGAGATGGATTCACGGTGAGGACACCCATCGAGGAAGGCCTCATGGCCGGAAATCTCGACTGCGTACGACTCCTCATCGAATTCGTGAGGAAAATCAATGCGATGAAGAGGCTGTTTGAAGATCAGGACCTCATCAAGGTAGCCGTGCTTTTTGACAAAGAAGGTTCAGCGACAAACATTGAGGCTCTCAAGATGCTGATAGGCTACGGGTTCAAAACGGGTCTCGGGAAGAGTATAACGCTCGCCGATCCCAAGGAGCAGCGCGAAATCACTCGTCTCCTGCTCTTCTACCAGACACAGGTCGTGAACTCCCTGGAGTTTGCCACGGTACACCCGAACCAGACAGTGAGTCTCAAAGTCGGTCGCGTCAAGTGGGAGGGTTTCAACCTACGCCACATCGATGGGGAGTGGTTCCACGACGCCAACTGCGCCATCGACTCTGTCTCAAGAATCTTCCATGACCCGGACCATCGGGTCCACAGTCTCTTCCGGCAGTCACAGGCCTTCTTCTGCAAACTGGGTGCGAGCTGCCTCAGCTACTTCTCAAATTTAGACACTCCGTCGTCCCTCGAGCGGTCGTATATTGTAGCGCTAGTGGAGATAAACCTAACAGAGAATCACCTGACGACTCTCCCACCAGAACTGTTTCAGCAACGCCACCTCCGTACCCTACTCCTGAGCCACAACGAGCTCTCCCAACTCCCAGAGTCCGGGGACCTCAACCGGTCAATCTACGACTGTCACAGATTGCGTACCATCGACCTGGACTGGAACCAGCTTCAGACGCTGCCGGAAGAATTCTGTCGTGGTGTCGGCAGGTCACTGGAGGAACTGAACCTTGTCCACAACAGACTCGTGGATCTGCCCCCGGGACTTTGGATGATGAGGAGGCTCAGAAAACTCAAACTGAGCAGCAACCGCCTCACTCGTCTGCACAAGTTCAGCGATCCTCAGTGTTTTACTGACCCTTCCCTCTCCCAGAGGGTTGTCACAATGTTTGAAGCCAGCCCCGAGGGGGAGCTGAGGGTCACGCATGGAGGGGGAGTGGCGAGAGACGAAGAAGCAATCTACCACATCAATCGGTATCTCCACGATTTGATGTCTTTTCTCAAGACCGTGCTCGTGTTGCTGGAGAAAGATGACGCGAGTACTAATCTTGCCAAAGTGGTCGTTGACATCCACTGGCAGCGGTACAACTGTACAAAGAACCCATCATATGAACCTCACCCACCACAAATCATAGACGCTCTCTTTGACTTCATCGAGAACGAAGGGGGTCCCTCACTCATCCAACGAGGGTTCACTTCTCTGGAGGAGCTTCATTTGAACGAGAACTGTTTCAGAGAGCTTCCTTGGGACCTCCCCTGCCTTGTTCCAGAGCTTCGTAAGCTCTACATCACTGAGAATGAACTGAGTGATATGGACATCGTCCAGGGCTCTCCTGCCGGTATCGTGACTCTGTGCCTCAGCAAGAACCAGATCGTGAACACCACAAAGAAACGATCTGCAGCTCTTCCCTGCGGCTCTCTACTCTTCCTAGCGTCCACTCAGCCCGACAGGACAAGCTACAGAGACCACTGCACCCACTGTCAGCACTCGACTCTGGAAAGCCTCGCCAAACTAACCCTCGACTCCAACCGACTGGAAAAGTTTGAACTCATCAACATCTCCAGTGACGTGCACGAGCAGAGCACCGAGAGTGCGTTTGCGTCCATCGACATCAACCCTCTCTTCCCCTACCTCACCTTCCTCAACCTCGCCAACAACCACTTGACTCACGTTCCTCGCAGCGTGGAAAAGTATTCCCACCTCTCGTACCTCAACCTGTCGCAGAACGTCGGGATCAGGGAGCTGCCAGAGGAGATGGGGATGCTGAATCCGCAGGTGTTTCTAACACTTGGCCTCGAGGGGCTGTTCATCAAGAACATGCCACACAGCATCGTGA